CCACCCTGGAGTGTTGCAATGCTCTTGGCAGACACCCCAGAGCATTGCAGTGCTATTGCCGGACCCCTCGGAGCATTGCAGTGCACTTGTTGGACACCCCGGAGTGTTGCAATGCTCTTGCCGACCACCCAAGAGCGTTGCAATGCTCTTGACGGACACTCTGGAGTGTTGCAATGCTCTTGCACGACACCCCGGAGCGTTGCAATACTCATGCGTGATACCCTGAAGCGTTGCAATGCTCTTGCCGGACACCCTGGACCGCTGCAATGCTCTTGCCGACCACCCTGGAGCGTTGCAATGCTCTTGCCGACCACCCAGGAGCGTTGCAATGCTCTTGCCGTACACCCGGTAGCGTTGGAATGCTCTTGCCAAACACCCCCGAGCGCTGCAATGCTCTTGCCGACCACCCTCGAGCATTTCAATGCTCTTGCCGACCACTCGGAAGCGTTGGAATGCTCTTGCCGGACACCCCAGAGCGTTGCAATGCTCTTGCCGGCCACCCTGAAGCATTGCAATGCTCTTGCCGGAAACCCTAGAGCATTGTAATGCTCTTGCTGGACACCCCGTAGCCTTGCAGTGCTCTTGCTGAACACCCCTGAGTGTTGCAATGCTCTTGCCGGACACCCTGGAGCGTTGCAGTGCTCTTCTCGGACACCCCGGAGGGTTGCAATGCTCTTGCCGGACACCCTGGAGCGCTGCAATGCTCTTGCCAACCACCCTGGAGCGTTGCAGTTCTCTTGCCGACCACCATGGAGCATTGCAATGCTCTTGCTGGACACCTGGAGCGTTGCAATATTCTTGCCGGACACCTTGCAGCATTGCAATGCTCTTGGTGGACACCCCAGAGCGTTGCAATGCTATTGCTAGACACCCTGGTGCGTTGCAGTGCTCTTGCCGGACACCCCGCGGCCCTGCAATGCTCTTGCCGACCACCCTGGAGCGTTACAATGCTCTTGCCGGACACCCTAGAGCAGGGTAGTGCTCTTGCTGGACACCCCACAGCGTTGCAGCGCACTTGCCGGACATCCCGAAGCCTTGCAATGCTCTTGCCGGCCACTCTGGAGCGTTGCAGTGCACTTGCCGGACACCCTGGAGCGTTGCAGTGCTCTTGCCTGTTAGAAGTGGACACTGGAATGGCCCAAAGTGGTCTCCCTAAGGGCTATAGGTCTCGTCCTGGGGGGGTATGGGTGCGCTGACCCACTATGGAAACATGCCCTTTTATCCCAGTTCGTAAGCGGATTGGGATGCTATCCCTGCATTGCCGGCCACCCTGAAGCGTTGCAATGCTCTTGCCGAACACCCGAGAGCATTGTAGTGCTCTTGCCGGACACCCTGAAGCATTGCAGCGCACTTGCCGGACACCACCGAGCGTTGCAATGCTCTTGCCGACCACCAAGGAGCGTTGCAATGCTCTTGCCGGCCACCTTGGGGCGTTGCAATGATCTTGCAGTACACCCCGGAGCGTTGCAGTGCACTTGCCGGACACCCCGTAGCGTTGCAATGCTCTTGCCGGACACCCTGGAGCGTTGTAATGCTCTTGCCGACCAACCTAGAGCGTTGCAAAGCTCTAGCAGGACACCCTGGAGCGTTGCAGTGCACTTGCCGAAAACCCCGGAGCGTTGCAATGCTCTTGCCAGACACCCTAGAGCGTTGCAATGCTCTTGCCGAACACCGTGGAGCGTTGCAATGCTCTTGCCACACACCCCGGAGCGTTGCAATGCTCCTGCCAGACACCCTGGAGCGTTGCAAGGCTCTTGCCGGACACCCTGGAGCGCTGCAATGCTCTTGCTGACCATCCTGGAGCGTTGCAATGCTCTTGCCGACCACCCAGGAGCATTGCAATGCTATTGCCGGACACCCCGGAGCGTTGCAATGCTCTTGCCAGACACCCTGGAGCATTGCAATGAACTTGCCGGACACCCCGGAGCGTTGCAGTGCTCTTGCCGGCCACCCTGGAGCGTTGCTGTGCACTTGGTGGACACCCCGTCTTGTTGCAATGCTCTTGTCGACCACCGTGGAGCGTAGCAATGCTCTCGCCGGCCACCCCAAAGCGTTGCAACGCTCTTGCAGGACACCCTGGAGCATTGCAATGCCCTTGCAAGACACCCGGGAGCGTTGCGATGCTCCTGCCTGATACCCTGGAGCGTTGCAATGCTCTTGCCGATCACCCTAGAGCGTTGCAATGCTCTTGCCGGACACCTCAGAGCGTTACAATGCTCTTGCCGGCCACCCTGGAGCGTTGCAGTAAACTTGCCGGACATCTGGAGCATTGCAGTGCTCTTGGCGGCCACCCTAGAGCGTTGCAATGCCTTTGCTTGACACCCTAGAGCATTGTAGTCGTCTTGCTGGACACCCTGAAGTGTTGCAGCGCACTTGCCGGACACCCGGGAGCGTTGCAATGCTCTTGCTGACCACCGTGGAGCGTTGCAATGCTCTTGCCGTACACCCTAGAGCATTGCAATGCTCTTGCCGGACACCCCGGACACACGATGGGCCCTTGTTCTTCCAATTTTGCACACGCTAGGCCCTTGTTCTTCCAATTCTGCACACGCTGGGCCCTTGTTCTTCCAATTTTGCACACGCTGGGCCCTTGTTCTTCCAATTCTGCACACCTTGGGCCCTTGTTCTTGCAATTCCGCACACGCTTGGCCCTTGTTCTTCCAATTCTGCACACGCTGGGCCCTTGTTCTTCCGATTCAGCACACGCTGGGACCTTGTTCTTCCAATTGTGCCCACGGTGGGCCCTTGTTCCAGCAATTCTGCACACGCTTGGCCCTTGTTCTTCCAATTCTGCACACGCTGGGCCCTTGTTCATCCAATTCTGCACACGCTGCGCCCTTGTTCATCCAATTCTGCACACGCTGGGCCCTTGTTCTTCCAATTTTGCACACGTTGGGCCCTTGTTCTTCCAATTTTGCATACGCTGGGCCCTTGTTCTTCCAATTCTGGACATGCTGGGCCCTTGTTCTTCCAATTCTGCACAAGCCGGGCCCTTGTTCTTCCAATTCGGCACACGCTGGGCCCTTGTTCTTCCAATTCTGCACACGTTGGGCCCTTGTTCTTCCAATTCTGCACGCGCTTGGCCCTTGTTATTCCAATTATGCACACGCCGGGCCCTTGTTCTTCTAATTCTGCACACGCTGGGCCCTTGTTCTTCCAACTGTGCACATGCTGGGCCCTTGTTCTTCCAATTTTGCACACGCTGGGCCCTTGTTCTTTCAATTCTGCACACGCTGGGCCCTTGTTCTTCCAATTCTGCACACGCTCGGCACTTGTTCTTCCAATTCTGCACACCCGGGGCCCTTGTTCTTGCAATTCTGCACATGCTGGGCCCTTGTTCTTCCAATTCTGCACACGCTGGGCCCTTGTTATTTCAATTCTGGACACGCTGGGCCCTTGTTCTTCCAATTCTGAACACGGTGGGCCCTTCTTCTTCCAATTCGGCACACGCTGGGCCCTTGTTCTTCCAATTCAGCACACGCTGGGACCTTCTTCTTCCAATTCTGCACACGGTGGGCCCTTGTTCCAGCAATTCTGCACACGATGGGCCCTTGTTCATCCAATTCTGCACACTCTGGGCCCTTGTTCTTCCAATTCTGCACACGCTGGGCCCTTGTTATTCCAATTTTGCAGACGCTGCGCCCTTGTTCTTCCAATTCTGCACACGCTTGGCCCTTGTTCTTCCAATTTCGCACACGCTGGGCCCTTGTTTTTACAATTCTGTATACGCTGAGCACTTGTTCTTCCAATTCTACACAGGCTAGGCCCTTATTCTTCCAATTCTGCACACAGTGGGCCCTTGTTCTTCCAATTTTGCACACGCTGGGCCCTTGTTCTTCCAATTCAGCACACGCTAGGACCTTGTTCTTCCAATTCTGCACACGCTGGGCCCTTGTTCCTACAATTCTGCACATGCTGGGCCCTTGTTCTTCCAATTCTGCACATGCTGGGCCCTTGATCATCCAATTCTGCACATGCTGGGCCCTTGTTCTTCTAATTCTGCAAAGGCTGGTTGCTTGTTCTTCCAATTTTGCACACGCTGGGCCCTTGTTCTTCCAATTCTGCACGCGCTTGGCCCTTGTTCTTCCAAATTTGCACACGGTGGGCCCTTGTTCTTGCAATTCTGCACTCGCTGGGCCCTTGTTCTTCCAATTCTGCACAGGCTGGGCCCTTGTTTTTCCAATTCTGCACACGCTGGGCCCTTGTTCTTCCAATTTTGCACACGCTGGGCCCTTGTTCTTCGAATGTTGCACACGCTGGGCCCTTGTTCTTCCAATTCTGCATACGCTGGGCCCTTGTTCTTCCTATTCTGCACACGATGGGCCCTTGTTCTTCCAATTCTGCACACGCTGGGCCCTTGTTCTTCCAATTCTGCACACGCTGGGCCCTTGTTTTTCCAATTGTGCACACGCTTGGCCCTTCTTCTTGCAATTCGGCACATGCTGGGCCCTTGTTTTTCCAATTCAGCACACGCTGGGACCTTGTTCTTCCAATATTGCACACGGTGGACCTTTGTGCTTGCAATTCTGCACACGCTGGGCCCTTGTTCTTCCAATTTTGCACACGCTGGGCCCTTGTTCTTCCAATTCTGCATAGGCTGGGCCCTTGTTCTTCATATTCTGCACACGCTGGGCCCTTGTTCTTCCAATTCCGCACACGCTGGGCCCTTGTTCTTCTAATTCTGCACACGCTTGGCCCTTCTTCTTTCAAGTCGGCACACGCTGGGCCCTTGTTCTTCCAATTCAGCACACGCTGGGACCTTATTCTTCCAATTCTGCACACGGTGGGCCCTTGTTCCTGCAATTCTGCACATGCTGGGCCCTTGTTTTTCCAATTCAGCACACGCTGGGACCTTGTTCTTCCAATATTGCACACACTGGACCTTTGTTCTTGCAATTCTGCACACGCTGGGCCCTTGTTCTTCCAATTTTGCACACGCTGGGCCCTTGTTCTTCCAATTCTGCATACGCTGGGCCCTTGTTCTTCCTATTCTGCACACGATGGGCCCTTGTTTTTCCAATTCTGCACACGCTCGGCCCTTCTCCCAGATTCCATCCCCTTCTCCCTCTCCCCGATTCCATCCCCTTCTCCCCGATTCCATCCCCTTCTCCCAGATTCCATCCCCTTCTCCCCGATTCCATCCCCTTCTCCCATATTCCATCCCCTTCTCCCATATTCCATCCCCTTCTCCCAGATTCCATCCCTTTCTCCCAGATTCTATCCCCTTCTCCCATATTCCATCCCCTCCTCCCCGATTCCATCCCCTTCTCCCATATTCCATCCCCTTCTCCCAGATTCCATCCCCTTCTCCCAGGTTCCATCTTTCTTCTCCCAGATTCCATCCCCTTTCTCCCAGATTCCATCCCCTTCTCCCAGATTCCACCCCCTTCTCCCAGATTCCACCCCCTTCTCCCAGATTCCATCCCCTTCTCCCAGATTCCATCCCCTTCTCCTTGATTCTATCCCCTTCTCCCATATTCCATCCCCTTCTCCCAGATTCCATCCCCTTCTCCCAGATTCCATCCCCTTCTTCCAGATTTCATCCCCTTCTCCCAGATTCCATCCCCTTCTTCCAGATTCCATCCCCTTCTCCCAGATTCCATCCCCTTCTCCCAGATTCCATCCCCTTCTCCCAGATTCCATCCCCTTCTCCCAGATTTCATCCCCTTCTCCTTGATTCCATCCCCTTCTCCCAAATTCCATCCCTTCTCCCATATTCCATCCCCTTCTCCTAGATTCCATCCCCTTCTCCCTCATTCCATCCCCTTCTCCCAGATTCCATCCCCTTCTCCCAGATTCCATCCCCTTCTCCCAGATTCCATCCCCTTCTTCCAGATTCCATCCCCTTCTCCCTGATTCCATCCCCTTCTCCCAGATTTCATCCCCTTCTCCTAGATTCCATCCCCTTCAACCAGATTCCATCCCCTTCTCCCAGATTCCATCCCTTTCTCCCTGATTCCATCCCCTTCTCTCAGATTCCATCCTTTCTACCAGATTCCATCCCCTTCTCCCAGATTCCATCCCCTTCTCCCTCATTCCATCCCATTCTCCCAGATTCCATCCCCTTGTCCCAGATTCCATCCCCTTCTCCTAGATTCCATCCCCTTCTCCCTGATTCCATCCCCTTCTCCCTGATTCTATCCCCTTCTCCCAAATTCCATCCCCTTCTCCCAGATTCCATCCCCTTCTCCCTCATTTCATCCCCTTCTTCCATATTCCATCCCCTTCTCCCGGATTCCATCCCCTTCTCCAAGATTGCATCCCCTTCTCCCATGTTCCATCCCCTTCTCCTAGATTCCATCCCCTTCTCCCAGATTCCATCTCCTTCTCCCAGATTCCATCCCTTTCTCCCAAATTCCATCCCCTTCTCCCAGATTCCATCCCCTTCTCCCAGGTTCCATCCCCTTCTCCCAGATTCCATCCCCTTCTCCCAGATTCCATCCCCTTCTCCCAGATTCCATCCCCTTCTCCCAGATTCCATCCCCTTCTCCCAAATTCCATCCCCTTCTCCCAGATTCCATCCCCTTCTCCCAGATTCCATCCGGTTCTCCCAAATTACATCCCTTCTCCCTGATTCCATCCCCTTCTCCCAGATTCCATCCCCTTCTCCTAGATTCCATCCCCTTCTCCCATATTCCATCCCCTTCTCCATATTCCATCCCCTTCTCCCAAATTCCATCCCCTTCTCCCAGATTCCATCCCCTTCTCCCAGATTCCATCCCCTTCTCCCTGAATCCATCACCTTCTCCCTCATTCCATCCCCTTCTCCCTCATTCCTTCCCCTTCTCCCAGATTCCATCCCCTTCTCCCAGATTCCATCCCCTTCTCCCAGATTCCATCCCCTTCTTCCAGATTCCATCCCCTTCTCCCTGATTCCATCCCCTTCTCCCAGATTTCATCCCCTTCTCCTAGATTCCATCCCCTTCAACCAGATTCCATCCCCTTCTCCCAGATTCCATCCCTTTCTCCCTGATTCCATCCCCTTCTCTCAGATTCCATCCTTTCTACCAGATTCCATCCCCTTCTCCCAGATTCCATCCCCTTCTCCCTCATTCCATCCCATTCTCCCAGATTCCATCCCCTTGTCCCAGATTCCATCCCCTTCTCCTAGATTCCATCCCCTTCTCCCTGATTCCATCCCCTTCTCCCTGATTCTATCCCCTTCTCCCAAATTCCATCCCCTTCTCCCAGATTCCATCCCCTTCTCCCTCATTTCATCCCCTTCTTCCAGATTCCATCCCCTTCTTCCGGATTCCATCCCCTTCTCCAAGATTGCATCCCCTTCTCCCATGTTCCATCCCCTTCTCCTAGATTCCATCCCCTTCTCCCAGATTCCATCTCCTTCTCCCAGATTCCATCCCTTTCTCCCAAATTCCATCCCCTTCTCCCAGATTCCATCCCCTTCTCCCAGGTTCCATCCCCTTCTCCCAGATTCCATCCCCTTCTCCCAGATTCCATCCCCTTCTCCCAGATTCCATCCCCTTCTCCCAGATTCCATCCCCTTCTCCCAAATTCCATCCCCTTCTCCCAGATTCCATCCCCTTCTCCCAGATTCCATCCGGTTCTCCCAAATTACATCCCTTCTCCCTGATTCCATCCCCTTCTCCCAGATTCCATCCCCTTCTCCTAGATTCCATCCCCTTCTCCCATATTCCATCCCCTTCTCCAGATTCCATCCCCTTCTCCCAAATTCCATCCCCTTCTCCCAGATTCCATCCCCTTCTCCCAGATTCCATCCCCTTCTCCCTGAATCCATCACCTTCTCCCTCATTCCATCCCCTTCTCCCTCATTCCTTCCCCTTCTCCCAGATTCCATCCCCTTCTTCTAGATTCCATCCCCTTCCCCCAGATTCCATCCCCTTCTCCCAGATTCCATCCCCTTCTCTCAGATTCCATCCCCTTCTCTCAGATTCCATCCCCTTCTCCCAGATTCCATCCCCTTCTCCCAGATTCCATCCCTTTCTCCCTGATTCCATCCCCTTCTCTCAGATTCCATCCTTTCTACCAGATTCCATCCCCTTCTCCCAGATTCCATCCCCTTCTCCCTCATTCCATCCCATTCTCCCAGATTCCATCCCCTTGTCCCAGATTCCATCCCCTTCTCCTAGATTCCATCCCCTTCTCCCTGATTCCATCCCCTTCTCCCTAATTCTATCCCCTTCTCCCAAATTCCATCCCCTTCTCCCAGATTCCATCCCCTTCTCCCTCATTTCATCCCCTTCTTCCAGATTCCATCCCCTTCTTCCGGATTCCATCCCCTTCTCCAAGATTGCATCCCCTTCTCCCATGTTCCATCCCCTTCTCCTAGATTCCATCCCCTTCTCCCAGATTCCATCTCCTTCTCCCAGATTCCATCCCTTTCTCCCAAATTCCATCCCCTTCTCCCAGATTCCATCCCCTTCTCCCAGGTTCCATCCCCTTCTCCCAGATTCCATCCCCTTCTCCCAGATTCCATCCCCTTCTCCCAGATTCCATCCCCTTCTCCCAGATTCCATCCCCTTCTCCCAAATTCCATCCCCTTCTCCCAGATTCCATCCCCTTCTCCCAGATTCCATCCGGTTCTCCCAAATTACATCCCTTCTCCCTGATTCCATCCCCTTCTCCCAGATTCCATCCCCTTCTCCTAGATTCCATCCCCTTCTCCCATATTCCATCCCCTTCTCCAGATTCCATCCCCTTCTCCCAAATTCCATCCCCTTCTCCCAGATTCCATCCCCTTCTCCCAGATTCCATCCCCTTCTCCCTGAATCCATCACCTTCTCCCTCATTCCATCCCCTTCTCCCTCATTCCTTCCCCTTCTCCCAGATTCCATCCCCTTCTTCTAGATTCCATCCCCTTCCCCCAGATTCCATCCCCTTCTCCCAGATTCCATCCCCTTCTCTCAGATTCCATCCCCTTCTCTCAGATTCCATCCCCTTCTCCCAGATTCCATCCCCTTCTCCCAGATTCCATCCCCTTCTCCTTGATTCCATCCCCTTCTCCCAAATTCCATCCCCTTCTCCCAGATTCCATCCCCTTCTCCCAGATTCCATCCCCTTCTCCCTGAATCCATCACCTTCTCCCTCATTCCATCCCCTTCTCCCTCATTCCTTCCCCTTCTCCCAGATTCCATCCCCTTTTTCCAGATTCCATCCCCTTCCCCCAGATTCCATCCCCTTCTCCCAGATTCCATCCCCTTCTCTCAGATTCCATCCCCTTCTCTCAGATTCCATCCCCTTCTCCCAGATTCCATCCCCTTCTCCCAGATTCCATCCCCTTCTCCCAGATTCCATCCCCTTCTCCTAGATTCCATCCCCTTCTCCCTCATTCCATCCCCTTCTCCCAGATTCCATCCCCTTCTCCCTCATTCCATCCCCTTCTCCCAGATTCCATCCCCTTCTCCCAGATTCCATCCCCTTCCCCAAGATTCCATCCCCTTCTCCCAGATTCCATCCCTTTCTCCCAAATTCCATCCCCTTCTCCCAGATTCCATCCCCTTCTCCTAGATTCCATCCCCTTCTCCCAGATTCCATCCCCTTCTCCCAGATTCCATCACTTTCTCCCAGATTCCATCCCCTTCTCCCAGATTCCATCCCCTTCTCCCAGATTCCATCCCCTTCTGCCAGATTCCATCCCCTTCTCCCTCTCCCCGATTCCATCCCCTTCTCCCCGATTCCATCCCCTTCTCCCAGATTCCATCCCCTTCTCCCTGATTCCATCCCCTTCTCCCATATTCCATCCCCTTCTCCCATATGCCATCCCCTTCTCCCAGATTCCATCCCTTTCTCCCAGATTCCATCCCCTTCTCCCAGATTCCATCCCCTTCTCCCCGATTCCATCCCCTTCTCCCATATTCCATCCCCTTCTCCCAGATTTGATCCCCTTCTCCCAGGTTCCATCTTTCTTCTCCCAGATTCCATCCCCTTCTCCCAGATTCCATCCCCTTCTCCCAGATTCCACCCCCTTCTCCCAGATTCCACCCCCTTCTCCCTGATTCCATCCCCTTCTCCCAGATTCCATCCCCTTCTCCCTGATTCTATCCCCTTCTCCCAGATTCCATCCCCTTCTCCTAGATTCCATCCCCTTCTCCCAGATTCCATCCCCTTCTTCCAGATTTCATCCCCTTCTCCCAGATTCCATCACCTTCTTCCAGATTCCATCCCCTTCTCCCAGATTCCATCCCCTTCTCCCAGATTCCATCCCCTTCTCCCAGATACCATCCCCTTCTCCCAGATTCCATCCCCTTCTCCTTGATTCCATCCCCTTCTCCCAAATTCCATCCCTTCTCCCAGATTCCATCCCCTTCTCCCAGATTCCATCCCCTTCTCCCTCATTCCATCCCCTTCTCCCAGATTCCATCCCCTTCTCCCGGATTCCATCCCCTTCTCCCAGATTCCATCCCCTTCTTCCAGATTCCATCCCCTTCTCCCTGATTCCATCCCCTTCTCCCAAATTTCATCCCCTTCTCCCAGATTCCATCCCCTTCAACCAGATTCCATCCCCTTCTTCCAGATTCCATCCCTTTCTCCCTGATTCCATCCCCTTCTCTCAGATTCCATCCTTTCTACCAGATTCCATCCCCTTCTCCCAGATTCCATCCCCTTCTCCCTCATTCCATCCCATTCTCCCAGATTTCATCCCCTTCTCCCAGATTCCATCCCCTTCTCCCAGATTCCATCCCCTTCTCCTTGATTCCATCCCCTTCTCCCTGATTCCATCCCCTTCTCCCAGATTCCATCCCCTTCTCCCAGATTCCATCCCCTTCTCCCAGATTCCATCCCCTTCTCCCGATTCCATCCCCTTCTCCCAGATTCCATCCCCTTCTCCCAGATTCCATCCCCTTCTGCCAGATCCCATCCCCTTCTCCCAGATTCCATCCCCTTCTCCCAGATTCCATCCCCTTCTCCCAAATTCCATCCCCTTCTCCCAGATTCCATCCCCTTTACCCAGATTCCATCCCCTTCTCCCAGATTCCATCCCCTTCTCCCTCATTCCATCCCCTTCTCCCATATTCCATCCCCTTCTCCCACATTCCATCCCCATCTCCCAGATTCCATCCCCTTCTCCCAGATTCCATCCCCTTCTCCCAGATTCCATCCCCTTCTTTTAGATTCCATCCCCTTCTCCCATATTCCATCCCCTTCTCCCAGATTCCATCCCCTTTACCCAGATTCCATCCCCTTCTCCCAGATTCCATCCCCTTCTCCCTCATTCCATCCCCTTCTCCCAGATTCCATCCCCTTCTCCCAGATTCCATCCCCATCTCCCAGATTCCATCCCCTTCTCCCAGATTCCATCCCCTTCTCCAAGATTGCATCCCCTTCTCCCATGTTCCATCCCCTTCTCCCAGATTCCATCCCCTTCTCCCAGATTCCATCTCCTTCTCCCAGATTCCATCCCTTTCTCCCAGATTCCATCCCCTTCTCCCAGACTCCATCCCTTTCTCCCAGGTTCCATCCCCTTCTCCCAGATTCCATCCCCTTCTCCCAGATTCCATCCCCTTCTCCCAGATTCCATCCCCTTCTCCCAGATTCCATCCCCTTCTCCCAAATTCCATCCCCTTCTCCCAGATTCCATCCCCTTCTCCCTCATTCCATCCGGTTCTCCCAAATTCCATCCCTTCTCCCTGATTCCATCCCCTTCTCCCAGATTCCATCCCCTTCTCCCAGATTCCATCCCCTTCTCCCTGATTCCATCCCCTTCTCCAAATTCCATCCCCTTCTCCCAAATTCCATCCCCTTCTCCCATATTCCATCCCCTTCTCCCAGATTCCATCCCCTTCTCCCATAATCCATCCCCTTCTCCCTCATTCCATCCCCTTCTCCCTCATTCCATCCCCTTCTCCCAGATTCCATCCCCTTCTTCTAGATTCCATCCCCTTCCCCAAGATTCCATCCCCTTCTCCCAGATTCCATCCCCTTCTCTCAGATTCCATCCCCTTCTCTCAGATTCCATCCCCTTCTCCCAGATTCCATCCCCTTCTCCCAAATTCCATCCCCTTCTCCCAGATTCCATCCCCTTCTCCCAGATTCCATCCCCTTCTCCCAGATTCCATCCCCTTCTTCCTGATTCCATCACCTTCTCCCAGATTCCATCCCCTTCTCCCAAATTCCATCCCCTTCTCCCAGATTCCATTCCCTTCTGCCAGATTCCATCCCCTTCTCCCCGATTCCATCCCCTTCTCCCAGATTCCATCCCCTTCTCCCAGATTCCATCACCTTCTCCCAGATTCCATCCCCTTCTCCCAGATTCCATCCCCTTCTCCCAGATTCCATCCCCTTCTGCCAGATTCCATCCCCTTTTCCCTCTCCCCGATTCCATCCCCTTCTCCCCGATTCCATCCCCTTCTCCCAGATTCCATCCCCTTCTCCCCGATTCCATCCCCTTCTACCATATTCCATCCCCTTCTCCCATATGCCATCCCCTTCTCCCAGATTCCATCCCTTTCTCCCAGATTCCATCCCCTTCTCCCAGATTCCATCCCCTTCTCCCAGATTTCATCCCCTTCTCCCAGATTCCATCCCCTTCTCCCAGATTCCATCCCCTTCTCCCCGATTTCATCCCCTTCTCCCAGATTTGATCCCCTTCTCCCCGGTTCCATCTTTCTTCTCCCAGATTCCATCCCCTTCTCCCAGATTCCATCCCCTTCTCCCAGATTCCACCCCCTTCTCCCAGATTCCACCCCCTTCTCCCTGATTCCATCCCCTTCTCCCAGATTCCATCCCCTTCTCCCTGATTCTATCCCCTTCTCCCAGATTCCATCCCCTTCTCCCAGATTCCATCCCCTTCTCCCAGATTCCATCCCCTTCTTCCAGATTTCATCCCCTTCTCCCAGATTCCATCCCCTTCTTCCAGATTTTATCCCCTTCTCCCAGATTCCATCCCCTTCTCCCAGATTCCATCCCCTTCTCCCAGATACCATCCCCTTCTCCCTGATTCCATCCCTTTCTCCCAAATTCCATCCCCTTCTCCCAGATTCCATCCCCTTCTCCCAGATTCCATCCCCTTCTCCCAGATTCCATCCCCTTCTCCCAGATTCCATCACCTTCTCCCAGATTCCATCCCCTTCTCCCAAAGTCCATCCCCTTCTCCCAGATTCCATCCCCTTCTGCCAGATTCCATCCCCTTCTCCCCGATTCCATCCCCTTCTCCCAGATTCCATCCCCTTCTCCCCGATTCCATTCCCTTCTCCCATATTCCTTCCCCTTCTCCCAGGTTCCATCCCCTTCTCCCAGATTCCATCCCCTTCTCCCACATTCCATCCCCTTCTCCCAGATTCCATCCCCTTCTCCCAGATTCCATCCCCTTCCCCAAGATTCCATCCCCTTCTCCCAGATTCCATCCCTTTCTCCCAAATTCCATCCCCTTCTCCCAGATTCCATCCCCTTCTCCTAGATTCCATCCCCTTCTCCCAGATTCCATCCCCTTCTCCCAGATTCCATCACCTTCTCCCAGATTCCATCCCCTTCTCCCAGATTCCATCCCCTTCTCCCAGATTCCATCCCCTTCTGCCAGATTCCATCCCCTTCTCCCTCTCCCCGATTCCATCCCCTTCTCCCCGATTCCATCCCCTTCTCCCAGATTCCATCCCCTTCTCCCGGATTCCATCCCCTTCTCCCATATTCCATCCTCTTCTCCCGTATGCCATCCCCTTCTCCCAGATTCCATCCCTTTCTCCCAAATTCCATCCCCTTCTCCCAGATTCCATCCCCTTCTCCCCGATTTCATCCCCTTCTCCCATATTCCATCCCCTTCTCCCAGATTTGATCCCCTTCTCCCAGGTTCCATCTTTCTTCTCCCAGATTCCATCCCCTTCTCCCAGATTCCATCCCCTTCTCCCAGATTCCACCCCCTTCTCCCTGATTCCATCCCCTTCTCCCAGATTCCATCCCCTTCTCCCTGATTCTATCCCCTTCTCCCAGATTCCATCCCCTTCTCCCAGATTCCATCCCCTTCTCCCAGATTCCATCCCCTTCTTCCAGATTTCATCCCCTTCTCCCAGATTCCATCCCTTTCTTCCAGATTCCATCCCCTTCTCCCAGATTCCATCCCCTTCTCCCAGATTCCATCCCCTTCTCCCAGATACCATCCCCTTCTCCCAGATTCCATCCCCTTCTCCTTGATTCCATCCCCTTCTCCCAAATTCCATCCCTTCTCCCAGATTCCATCCCCTTCTCCCAGATTCCATCCCCTTCTCCCTCATTCCATCCCCTTCTCTCAGATTCCATCCCCTTCTCCCGGATTCCATCCCCTTCTCCCAGATTCCATCCCCTTCTTTTAGATTCCATCCCCTTCTCCCTGATTCCATCCCCTTCTCCCAAATTTCATCCCCTTCTCCCAGATTCCATCCCCTTCAACCAGATTCCATCCCCTTCTCCCAGATTCCATCCCTTTCTCCCTGATTCCATCCCCTTCTCTCAGATTCCATCCTTTCTACCAGATTCCATCCCCTTCTCCCAGATTCCATCCCCTTCTCCCTCATTCCATCCCATTCTCCCAGATTCCATCCCCTTCTCCCTGATTCCATCCCCTTCTCCCAGATTCCATCCCCTTCTCCTTGATTCCATCCCCTTCTCTCAGATTCCATCCTTTCTACCAGATTCCATCCCCTTCTCCCAGATTCCATCCCCTTCTCCCTCATTCCATCCCATTCTCCCAGATTCCATCCCCTTCTCCCTGATTCCATCCCCTTCTCCCTGATTCCATCCCCTTCTCCTTGATTCCATCCCCTTCTCCCTGATTCCATCCCCTTCTCCCAGATTCCATCCCCTTCTCCCAGATTCCATCCCCTTCTCCCAGATTCCATCCCCTTCTCCCGATTCCATCCCCTTCTCCCAGATTCCATCCCCTTCTCCCAGATTCCATCCCCTTCTGCCAGATCCCATCCCCTTCTTCCAGATTCCATCCCCTTCTCCCAGATTCCATCCCCTTCTCCCAGATTCCATCCCCTTCTCCCAGATTCCATCCCCTTTACCCAGATTCCATCCCCTTCTCCCAGATTCCATCCCCTTCTCCCTCATTCCATCCCCTTCTCCCATATTCCATTCCCTTCTCCCACATTCCATCCCCATCTCCCAGATTCCATCCCCTTCTCCCAGATTCCATCCCCTTCTCCTAGATTCCATCCCCTTCTTTTAGATTCCATCCCCTTCTCCCATATTCCATCCCCTTCTCCCAGATTCCATCCCCTTTACCCAGATTCCATCCCCTTCTCCCAGATTCCATCCCCTTCTCCCTCATTCCATCCCCTTCTCCCAGATTCCATCCCCTTCTCCCAGATTCCATCCCCATCTCCCAGATTCCATCCCCTTCTTCCAGATTTCATCCCCTTCTCCCAGATTCCATCCCCTTCTTCCAAATTCCATCCCCTTCTCCCAGATTCCATCCCCTTCTCCCAGATTCCATCCCCTTCTCCCAGATTCCATCCCCTTTACCCAGATTCCATCCCCTTCTCCCAGATTCCATCCCCTTCTCCCTCATTCCATCCCCTTCTCCCATATTCCATTCCCTTCTCCCACATTCCATCCCCATCTCCCAGATTCCATCCCCTTCTCCCAGATTCCATCCCCTTCTCCCAGATTCCATCCCCTTCTTTTAGATTCCATCCCCTTCTCCCATATTCCATCCCCTTCTCCCAGATTCCATCCCCTTTACCCAGATTCCATCCCCTTCTCCCAGATTCCATCCCCTTCTCCCTCATTCCATCCCCTTCTCCCAGATTCCATCCCCTTCTCCCAGATTCCATCCCCATCTCCCAGATTCCATCCCCTTCTTCCAGATTTCATCCCCTTCTCCCAGATTCCATCCCCTTCTTCCAGATTCCATCCCCTTCTCCCAGATTCCATCCCCTTCTCCCAGATTCCATCCCCTTCTCCCAGATTCCATCCCCTTCTCCCAGATTCCATCCCCTTCTCCTTGATTCCATCCCCTTCTCCCAAATTCCATCCCTTCTCCCTGATTCCATCCCCTTCTCCCAGATTCCATCCCCTTCTCCCTCATTCCATCCCCTTCTCCCAGATTCCATCCCCTTCTCCCAGATTCCATCCCCTTCTCCCAGATTCCATCCCCTTCTTCCAGATTCCATCCCCTTCTCCCTGATTCCATCCCCTTCTCCCAGATTTCATCCCCTTCTCCCAGATTCCATCCCCTTCAACCAGATTCCATCCCCTTCTCCCAGATTCCATCCCCTTCTCCCAGATTCCATCCCCTTCCCCTAAATTCCATCCCCTTCTCCCTAATTGCATCCCCTTCTCCCAGATTCCATCCCCTTCTCCCAGATTCTATCCCTTCTCCGAGATTCCATCCCCTTCTCCCAGATTCCATCCCCTTCTCCCAGATTCCATCCCCTTCTCCAAGATTCCACCCCCTTCTCCCAGATTCCACCCCCTTCTCCCAGATTCCATCCCCTTCTCCCAGATTCCATCCCCTTCTCCCTGATTCTATCCCCTTCTCCCATATTCCATCCCCTTCTCCCATATTCCATCCCCTTCTCCCAGATTCCATCCCCTTCTTCCAGATTTCATCCCCTTCTCCCAGATTCCATCCCCTTCTTCCAGATTCCATCCCCTTCTCCCAGATTCCATCCCCTTCTCCCAGATTCCATCCCCTTCTCCCAGATTCCATCCCCTTCTCCCAGATTCCATCCCCTTTTCCTTGATTCCATCCCCTTCTCCCAAATTCCATCCCTTCTCCCAGATTCCATCCCCTTCTCCCAGATTCCATCCCCTTCTCCCTCATTCCATCCCCTTCTCCCAGATTCCATCCCCTTCTCCCAGATTCCATCCCCTTCTCCCAGATTCCATCCCCTTCTTCCAGATTCCATCCCCTTCTTCCAGATTCCATCCCCTTCTCCCTGATTCCATCCCCTTCTCCCAGATTTCATCCCCTTCTCCCAGATTCCATCCCCTTCTACCTGATTCTATCCCCTTCTCCAATATTCCATCCCCTTCTCCCATATTCCATCCCCTTCTCCCAGATTCCATCCCCTTCTTCTAGATTTCATCCCCTTCTCCCAGATTCCATCCCCTTCTTCCAGATTCCATCCCCTTCTCCCAGATTCCATCCCCTTCTCCCAGATTCCATCCCCTTCTCCCAAATTCCATCCCCTTCTCCCAGATTCCATCCCCTTTTCCTTGATTCCATCCCCTTCTCCCAAATTCCATCCCTTCTCCCAGATTCCATCCCCTTCTCCCAGATTCCATCCCCTTCTCCCTCATTCCATCCCCTTCTCCCAGATTCCATCCCCTTCTCCCAGATTCCATCCCCTTCTCCCAGATTCCATCCCCTTCTTCCAGATTCCATCCCCTTCTCCCAGATTCCATCCCCTTCTTCCAGATTCCATCCCCTTCTCCCAGATTCCATCCCCTTCTCCCAGATTCCATCCCCTTCTCCCAGATTCCATCCCCTTCTCCCAGATTCCATCCCCTTTTCCTTGATTCCATCCCCTTCTCCCAAATTCCATCCCTTCTCCCAGATTCCATCCCCTTCTCCCAGATTCCATCCCCTTCTCCCTCATTCCATCCCCTTCTCCCAGATTCCATCCCCTTCTCCCAGATTCCATCCCCTTCTCCCAGATTCCATCCCCTTCTTCCAGATTCCATCCCCTTCTCCCTGATTCCATCCCCTTCTCCCAGATTTCATCCCCTTCTTCCAGATTCCATCCCCTTCAACCAGATTCCATCCCCTTCTCCCAGATTCCATCCCCTTCTCCCTGATTCCATCCCCTTCTCTCAGATTCCATCCTTTCTACCAGATTCCATCCCCTTCTCCTAGATTCCATCCCCTTCTCCCTCATTCCATCCCATTCTCCCAGATTCCATCCCCTTGTCCCAGATTCCATCCCCTTCTCCCAGATTCCATCCCCTTCTCCCTGATTCCATCCCCTTCTCCCTGATTCTATCCCCTTCTCCCAGATTCCATCCCCTTCTCCCAGATTCCATCCCCTTCTCCCTCATTCCATCCCCTTCTTCCAGATTCCATCCCCTTCTCCCAGATTCCATCCCCTTCTCCAAGATTGCATCCCCTTCTCCCATGTTCCATCCCCTTCTCCCAGATTCCATCCCCTTCTCCCAGATTCCATCTCCTTCTCCCAGATTCCATCCCTTTCTCCCAGATTCCATCCCCTTCTCCCAGATTCCATCCCCTTCTCCCAGGTTTCATCCCCTTCTCCCAGATTCCATCCCCTTCTCCCAGATTCCATCCCCTTCTCCCAGATTCCATCCCCTTCTCCCAGATTCCATCCCCTTCTCCCAAATTCCATCCCCTTCTCCCAGATTCCATCCCCTTCTCCCTCATTCCATCCGGTTCTCCCAAATTCCATCCCTTCTCCCTGATTCCATCCCCTTCTCCCAGATTCCATCCCCTTCTCCTAGATTCCATCCCCATCTCCCTGATTCCATCCCCTTCTCCAGATTCCATCCCCTTCTCCCAAATTCCATCCCCTTCTCCCAGATTCCATCCCCTTCTCCCTCATTCCATCCCCTTCTCCCAGATTCCATCCCCTTCTCCCAGATTCCATCCCCTTCTCCCAGATTCCACCCCCTTCTCCTAGATTCCACCCCCTTCTCCCAGATTCCATCCCCTTCTCCCAGATTCCATCCCCTTCTCCCTGATTCTATCCCCTTCTCCCAGATTCCATCCCCTTCTCCCAGATTCCATCCCCTTCTCCCAGATTCCATCCCCTTCTTCCAGATTTCATCCCCTTCTCCCAGATTCCATCCCCTTTTTCCAGATTCCATCCCCTTCTCCTAGATTCCATCCCCTTCTCCCACATTCCATCCCCTTCTCCCAGATACCATCCCCTTCTCCCAGATTCCATCCCCTTCTCCTTGATTCCATCCCCTTCTCCCAAATTCCATCCCTTCTCCCAGATTCTATCCCCTTCTCCCAGATTCCATCCCATTCTCCCTCATTCCATCCCCTTCTCCTAGATTCCATCCCCTTCTCCCGGATTCCATCCCTTTCTCCCAGATTCCATCCCCTTCTTCCAGATTTCATCCCCTTCTCCCAGATTCCATCCCCTTCTTCCAGATTCCATCCCCTTCTCCCTGATTTCATCCCCTTCTCCCAAATTTCATCCCCTTCTCCCAGATTCCATCCCCTTCAACCAGATTCCATCCCCTTCTCCCAGATTCCATCCCCTTCTCCCTGATTCCATCCCCTTCTCTCAGATTCCATCTTTTCTACCAGATTCCATCCCCTTCTCCCAGATTCCATCCCCTTCTCCCTCATTCCATCCCATTCTCCCAGATTCCATCCCCTTCCCCCAGATTCCATCCCCTTCTCCCAGATTCCATCCCCTTTTCCCTGATTCCATCCCCTTCTCCCTGATTCCATCCCCTTCTCCCAGATTCCATCCCCTTCTCCCAGATTCCATCCCCTTCTCCCAGATTCCATCCCCTTCTCCCGATTCCATCCCCTTCTCCCAGATTCCATCCCCTTCTGCCAGATCCCATCCCCTTCTCCCAAATTCCATCCCCTTCTCCCAGATTCCATCCCCTTCTCCCAGATTCCATCCCCATCTCCCAGATTCCATCCCCTTCTTCCAGATTCCATCCCCTTCTCCCAGATTCCATCCCCTTCTCCCAGATTCCATCCCCTTCTCCCAGATTCCATCCCCTTCTCCTTGATTCCATCCCCTTCTCCCAAATTCCATCCCTTCTCCCAGATTCCATCCCCTTCTCCCAGATTCCATCCCCTTCTCCCTCATTCCATCCCCTTCTCCCAGATTCTATCCCCTTCTCCCAAATTCCATCCCCTTCTCCCAGATTCCATCCCCTTCTTCCAGATTCCATCCCCTTCTCCCAGATTCCATCCCCTTCAACCAGATTCCATCCCCTTCTCCCAGATTCCATCGCCTTCTCCCAGATTCCATCCCCTTCCCCTAAATTCCATCCCTTTCTCCCTAATTGCATCCCCTTCTCCCATATTCCATCCCCTTCTCCCAGATTCTATCCCCTTCTCCGAGATTCCATCCCCTTCTCCCAGATTCCATCCCCTTCTCCCAGATTCCATCCCCTTCTCCCTGACTCCATCCCTATCTCCCAGATCCCATCCCCTTCTCCCAGATTCCACCCCCTTCTCCCAGATTCCATCCCCTTCTCCCAGATTCCATCCCCTTCTCCCTGATTCCATCCCCTTTTCCCAGATTCCATCCCCTTCTCCCAGATTCCATCCCCTTCTCCCAGATTCCATCCCCTTCTCCCAGATTCCATCCCCTTCTCCCGGATTCCATCCCCTTCTGCCAGATTCCATCCCCTTCTCCCAGATTCCATCCCCTTCTCCCAGATTCCATCCCCTTCTCCCAGATTCCATCCCCTTCTCCCAGATTCCATCCCCTTTACCCAGATTCCATCCCCTTCTCCCAGATTCCATCCCCTTCTCCCTCATTCCATCCCCTTCTCCCAGATTCCATCCCCTTCTCCCAGATTCCATCCCCATCTCCCAGATTCCATCCCCTTCTCCCAGATTCCATCCCCTTCTCCCTCATTCCATCCCCTTCTCCCAGATTCCATCCCCTTCTCCCAGATTCCATCCCCATCTCCCAGATTCCATCCCCTTCTTCCAGATTCCATCCCCTTCTCCCTGATTCCATCCCCTTCTCCCAGATTTCATCCCCTTCTCCCATATTCCATCCCCTTCAACCAGATTCCATCCCCTTCTCCCAGATTCCATCCCCTTCTCCCAGATTCCATCCCCTTCCCCTAAATTCCATCCCCTTCTCCCTAATTGAATCCCCTTCTCCCTAATTCCATCCCCTTCTCCAAGATTCTATCCCCTTCCCCGAGATTCCATCCCCTTCTCCCAGATTCCATCCCCTTCTCCCAGATTCCATCCCCTTCTCCCTGACTCCATCCCCTTCTCCCAGATTCCATCCCCTTCTCCCAGATTCCACACCCTTCTCCCAGATTCCATCCCCTTCTCCTAGATTCCATCCCCTTCTCCCTGATTCCATCCCCTTTTCCCAGATTCCATCCCCTTCTCCCAGATTCCATCCCCTTCTCCCAGATTCCATCCCCTTCTCCCTGATTCCATCCCCTTCTCCCTGATTCCATCCCCTTTTCCCAGATTCCATCCCCTTCTCCCATATTCCATCCCCTTCTCCCAGATTCCACCCCCTTCTCCTAGATTCCATCCCCTTCTCCCAGATTCCACCCCCTTCTCCCAGATTCCATCCCCTTCTCCCAGATTCCATCCCCTTCTCCCTGATTCCATCCCCTTTTCCCAGATTCCATCCCCTTCTCCTAGATTCCATCCCCTTCTCCTAGATTCCATCCCCTTCTCCCAGATTCCATCCCCTTCTCCCGGATTCCATCCCCTTCTGCCAGATTCCATCCCCTTCTCCCAGATTCTATCCCCTTCTCCCAGATTCCATCCCCTTCTCCCAGATTCCATCCCCTTCTCCCAGATTCCATCCCCTTTACCCAGATTCCATCCCCTTCTCCCAGATTCCATCCCCTTCTCCCTCATTCCATCCCCTTCTCCCAGATTCCATCCCCTTCTCCTAGATTCCATCCCCATCTCCCAGATTCCATCCCCTTCTCCCAGATTCCATCCCCTTCTCCCTCATTCCATCCCCTTCTCCCAGATTCCATCCCCTTCTCCCAGATTCCATCCCCTTTACCCAGATTCCATCCCCTTCTCCCAGATTCCATCCCCTTCTCCCTCATTCCATCCCCTTCTCCCAGATTCCATCCCCTTCTTCCAGATTCCATCCCCATCTCCCAGATTCCATCCCCTTCTCCCAGATTCCATCCCCTTCCCCTAAATTCCATCCCCTTCTCCCTAATTGAATCCCCTTCTCCCAGATTCCATCCCCTTCTCCCAGATTCTATCCCCTTCTCCGAGATTCCATCCCCTTCTCCCAGATTCCATCCCCTTCTCCCAGATTCCATCCCCTTTACCTAGATTCCATCCCCTTCTCCCAGATTCCATCCCCTTCTCCCTCATTCCATCCCCTTCTCCCAGATTCCATCCCCTTCTCCCAGATTCCATCCCCATCTCCCAGATTCCATCCCCTTCTCCCAGATTCCATCCCCTTCTCCCTGATTCCATCCCCTTCTCCCTGATTCCATCCCCTTTTCCCAGATTCCATCCCCTTCTCCCAGATTCTATCCCCTTCTCCGAGATTCCATCCCCTTCTCCCAGATTCCACCCCCTTCTCCCAGATTCCATCCCCTTCTCCCAGATTCCATCCCCTTCTCCCTGATTCCATCCCCTTTTCCCAGATTCCATCCCCTTCTCCTAGATTCCATCCCCTTCTCCCAGATTCCATCCCCTTCTCCCAGATTCCATCCCCTTCTCCTTGATTCCATCCCCTTCTCCCAAATTCCATCCCTTCTCCTAGATTCCATCCCCTTCTCCCAGATTCCATCCCCTTCTCCCTCATTCCATCCCCTTCTCCCAGATTCCATCCCCTTCTTCCAGATTCCATCCCCTTCTCCTTGATTCCATCCCCTTCTCCCAGATTTCATCCCCTTCTCCCAGATTCCATCCCCTTCAACCAGATTCCATCCCCTTCTCCCAGATTCCATCCCCTTCTCCCTAATTCCATCCCCTTCTCTCAGATTCCATCCTTTCTACCAGATTCCATCCCCTTCTCCCAGATTCCATCCCCTTCTCCCTCATTCCATTCCATTCTCCCAGATTCCATCCCCTTATCCCAGATTCCATCCCCTTCTCCCAGATTCCATCCCCTTCTCCCTGATTCCATCCCCTTCTCCCTGATTCCATCCCCTTCTCCCAGATTCCATCCCCTTCTCCCAGATTCCATCCCCTTCTCCCAGATTCCATCCCCTTCCCCCGATTCCATCCCCTTCTCCCAGATTCCATCCCCTTCTCCCGGATTCCATCCCCTTCTGCCAGATTCCATCCCCTTCTCCCAGATTCCATCCCCTTCTCCCAGATTCCATCCCCTTCTCCCGATTCCATCCCCTTCTCCCAGATTCCATCCCCTTCTCCCGGATTCCATCCCCTTCTGCCAGATTCCATCCCCTTCTCCCAGATTCCATCCCCTTCTCCCAGATTCCATCCCCTTCTCCCAGATTCCATCCCCTTCTCCCAGATTCCATCCCCTTCTCCCCGATTCCATCCCCTTCTCCCTGATTCCATCCCCTTCTCCCAGATTCCATCCCCTTCTCCCAGATTCCATCCCCTTCTCCCAGATTCCATCCCCTTCTCCCAGATTCCATCCCCTTCTCCCTGATTCCATCCCCTTCTCCAAGATTCCATCCCCTTCTCCCACATTCCATCCCCTTCTCCCAGATTCCATCCCCTTCCCCCGATTCCATCCCCTTCTCCCAGATTCCATCCCCTTCTCCCGGATTCCATCCCCTTCTGCCAGATTCCATCCCCTTCTCCCAGATTCCATCCCCTTCTCCCAGATTCCATCCCCTTCTCCCGATTCCATCCCCTTCTCCCAGATTCCATCCCCTTCTCCCGGATTCCATCCCCTTCTGCCAGATTCCATCCCCTTCTCCCAGATTCCATCCCCTTCTCCCAGATTCCATCCCCTTCTCCCAGATTCCATCCCCTTCTCCCAGATTCCATCCCCTTCTCCCTGATTCCATCCCCTTCTCCCTGATTCCATCCCCTTCTCCCAGATTCCATCCCCTTCTCCCAGATTCCATCCCCTTCTCCCTGATTCCATCCCCTTCTCCCAGATTCCATCCCCTTCTCCCTGATTCCATCCCCTTCTCCCAGATTCCATCCCCTTCTCCCAGATTCCATCCCCTTCTCCCAGATTCCATCCCCTTCTCCCGATTCCATCCCCTTCTCCCAGATTCCATCCCCTTCTCCCGGATTCCATCCCCTTCTCCCAGATTCCATCCCCTTCTCCCATATTCCATCCCCTTCTCCCAGATTTCATCCCCTTCTCCCAGATTCCATCCCCTTCTCCCTGATTCCATCCCCTTCTCCCTGATTCCAACCCCTTCTCCCAGATTCCATCCCCTTCTCCCAGATTCCATCCCCTTCTCCCAGATTCCATCCCCTTCTCCCAGATTCCATCCCCTTCTCCCTGATTCCATCCCCTTCTCCCTGATTCCATCCCCTTCTCCCAGATTCCATCCCCTTCTCCCAGATTCCATCCCCTTCTCCCTGATTCCATCCCCTTCTCCCAGATTCCATCCCCTTCTCCCTGATTCCATCCCCTTCTCCCAGATTCCATCCCCTTCTCCCAGATTCCATCCCTTTCTCCCAGATTCCATCCCCTTCTCCCGATTCCATCCCCTTCTCCCAGATTCCATCCCCTTCTCCCGGATTCCATCCCCTTCTCCCAGATTCCATCCCCTTCTCCCATATTCCATCCCCTTCTCCCAGATTTCATCCCCTTCTCCCAGATTCCATCCCCTTCTCCCTGATTCCATCCCCTTCTCCCTGATTCCATCCCCTTCTCCCAGATTCCATCCCCTTCTCCCAGATTCCATCCCCTTCTCTCAAATTCCATCCCCTTCTCCCAGATTCCATCCCCTTCTCCCTGATTCCATCCCCTTCTCCCTGATTCCATCCCCTTCTCCCTGATTCCATCCCCTTCTCCCTGATTCCATCCCCTTCTCCCAGATTCCATCCCCTTCTCCCGATTCCATCCCCTTCTCCCAGATTCCATCCCCTTCTCCCGGATTCCATCCCCTTCTGCCAGATTCCATCCCCTTCTTTCAGATTCCATCCCCTTCTCCCAGATTCCATCCCCTTCTCCCAGATTCCATCCCCTTCTCCCAGATTCCATCCCCTTTACCCACATTCCATCCCCTTCTCCCAGATTCCATCCCCTTCTCCCTCATTCCATCCCCTTCTCCCAGATTCTATCCCCTTCTCCCAGATTCCATCCCCATCTCCCAGATTCCATCCCCTTTTCCCAGATTCCATCCCCTTCCCCTAAATTCCATCCCCTTCTCCCTAATTGCATCCCCTTCTCCCAGATTCCATCCTCTTCTCCCAGATTCTATCCCCTTCTCCGAGATTACATCCCCTTCTCCCAGATTCCATCCCCTTCTCCCTGATTCCATCCCCTTCTCCCATATTCCATCCCCTTCTCCCATATTCCATCCCCTTCTCCCAGATTCCACCCCCTTCTCCTAGATTCCATCCCCTTCTCCCAGATTCCATCCCCTTCTCCCAGATTCCACCCCCTTCTCCTAGATTCCATCCCCTTCTCCCAGATTCCATCCCCTTTACCCAGATTCCATCCCCTTCTCCCAGATTCCATCCCCTTCTCCCTCATTCTATCCCCTTCTCCCAGATTCCATCCCCTTCTCCCAGATTCCATCCCCATCTCCCAGATTCCATCCCCTTCTCCCAGATTCCATCCCCTTCCCCTAAATTCCATCCCCTTCTCCCTAATTGAATCCCCTTCTCCCAGATTCCATCCCCTTCTCCCATATTCTATCCCCTTCTCCGAGATTCCATCCCCTTCTCCCAGATTCCATCCCCTTCTCCCAGATTCCATCCCCTTCTCCCTGACTCCATCCCCTTCTCCTAGATTCCATCCCCTTCTCCCAGATTCCACCCCCTTCTCCCAGATTCCATCCCCTTCTCCCAGATTCCATCCCCTTCTCCCTGATTCCATCCCCTTTTCCCAGATTCCATCCCCTTCTCCTAGATTCCATCCCCTTCTCCCAGATTCCATCCCCTTCTCCCAGATTCCATCCCCTTCTCCTTGATTCCATCCCCTTCTCCCAAATTCCATCCCTTCTCCCAGATTCCATCCCCTTCTCCCAGATTCCATCCCCTTCTCCCTCATTCCATCCCCTTCTCCCAGATTCCATCCCCTTCTCCCAGATTCCATCCCCTTCTTCCAGATTCCATCCCCTTATTCTTGATTCCATCCCCTTCTCCCAGATTTCATCCCCTTCTCCCAGATTCCATCCCCTTCAACCAGATTCCATCCCCTTCTCCCAGATTCCATCCCCTTCTCCCAGATTCCATCCCCTTCTCTCAGATTCCATCCTTTCTACCAGATTCCATCCCCTTCTCCCAGATTCCATCCCCTTCTCCCTCATTCCATCCCATTCTCCCAGATTCCATCCCCTTATCCTAGATTCCATCCCCTTCTCCCAGATTCCATCCCCTTCTCCCTGATTCCATCCCCTTCTCCCAGATTCCATCCCCTTCTCCCAGATTCCATCCCCTTCTCCCAGATTCCTTCCCCTTCCCCCGATTCCATCCCCTTCTCCCAGATTCCATCCCCTTCTCCCGGATTCCATCCCCTTCTGCCAGATTCCATCCCCTTCTCCCAGATTCCATCCCCTTCTCCCAGATTCCATCCCCTTCTCCCAGATTCCATCCCCTTCTGCCAGATTCCATCCCCTTTACCCAGATTCCATCCCCTTCTCCCAAATTCCATCCCCTTCTCCCTCATTCCATCCCCTTCTCCCAGATTCCATCCCCTTCTCCCAGATTCCATCCCCATCTCCCTGATTCCATCCCCTTCTCCCAGATTCCATCCCCTTCCCCTAAATTCCATCCCCTTCTCCCTAATTGCATCCCCTTCTCCCAGATTTCATCCCCTTCTCCCAGATTCTATCCCCTTCTCCGAGATTCCATCCCCTTCTCCCAGATTCCATCCCCTTCTCCCAGATTCCATCCCCTTCTCCCTGATTCCATCCCCTTCTCCCAGATTCCATCCCCTTCTCCCAGATTCCACCCCTCTCTCCCAGACTCCATCCCCTTCTCCCAGATTCCATCCCCTTCTCCCTGATTCCATCCCCTTTTCCCAGATTCCATCCCCTTCTCCCAGATTCCATCCCCTTCTCCCAGATTCCACCCCCTTCTCCTAGATTCCATCCCCTTCTCCCAGATTCCATCCCCTTCTCCCTGATTCCATCCCCTTTTCCTAGATTCCATCCCCTTCCCCTAAATTCCATCCCCTTCTCCCTAATTGAATCCCCTTCTCCCAGATTCCATCCCCTTCTCCAAGATTCTATCCCCTTCTCCGAGATTCCATCCCCTTCTCCCAGATTCCATCCCATTCTCCCAGATTCCATCCCCTTCTCCCTGACTCCATCCCCTTCTCCCAGATTCCATCCCCTTCTCCCAGATTCCACCCCCTTCTCCCAGATTCCATCCCCTTCTCCCAGATTCCATCCCCTTCTCCCTGATTCTATCCCCTTTTCCCAGATTCCATCCCCTTCTCCCAGATTCCATCCCCTTCTCCCAGATTCCATCCCCTTCTCCCAGATTCCATCCCCTTCTCCTTGATTCCATCCCCTTTTCCCAAATTCCATCCCTTCTCCCAGATTCCATCACCTTCTCCCAGATTCCATCCCTTTCTCCCTCATTCCATCCCCTTCTCCCAGATTCCATCCCCTTCTCCCAGATTCCATCCCCTTCTTTCAGATTTCATCCCCTTCTTCCAGATTCCATCCCCTTCTCCCTGATTCCATCCCCTTCTCCCAGATTTCATCCCCTTCTCCCAGATTCCATCCCCTTGAACCAGATTCCATCCCCTTCTCCCAGATTCCATCCCCTTCTCCCTGATTCCATCCCCTTCTCTCATATTCCATCCTTTCTACTAGATTCCATCCCCTTCTCCCAGATTCCATCCCCTTCTCCCGGATTCCATCCCCTTCTGCCAGATTCCATCCCCTTCTCCCAGATTCCATCCCCTTCTCCCAGATTCCATCCCCTTCTCCCAGATTCCATCCCCTTCTGCCAGATTCCATCCCCTTTACCCAGATTCCATCCCCTTCTCCCAAATTCCATCCCCTTCTCCCTCATTCCATCCCCTTCTCCCAGATTCCATCCCCTTCTCCCAGATTCCATCCCCATCTCCCTGATTCCATCCCCTTCTCCCAGATTCCATCCCCTTCCCCTAAATTCCATCCCCTTCTCCCTAATTGCATCCCCTTCTCCCAGATTTCATCCCCTTCTCCCAGATTCTATCCCCTTCTCCGAGATTCCATCCCCTTCTCCCAGATTCCATCCCCTTCTCCCAGATTCCATCCCCTTCTCCCTGATTCCATCCCCTTCTCCCAGATTCCATCCCCTTCTCCCAGATTCCACCCCTCTCTCCCAGACTCCATCCCCTTCTCCCAGATTCCATCCCCTTCTCCCTGATTCCATCCCCTTTTCCCAGATTCCATCCCCTTCTCCCAGATTCCATCCCCTTCTCCCAGATTCCACCCCCTTCTCCTAGATTCCATCCCCTTCTCCCAGATTCCATCCCCTTCTCCCTGATTCCATCCCCTTTTCCTAGATTCCATCCCCTTCCCCTAAATTCCATCCCCTTCTCCCTAATTGAATCCCCTTCTCCCAGATTCCATCCCCTTCTCCAAGATTCTATCCCCTTCTCCGAGATTCCATCCCCTTCTCCCAGATTCCATCCCATTCTCCCAGATTCCATCCCCTTCTCCCTGACTCCATCCCCTTCTCCCAGATTCCATCCCCTTCTCCCAGATTCCACCCCCTTCTCCCAGATTCCATCCCCTTCTCCCAGATTCCATCCCCTTCTCCCTGATTCTATCCCCTTTTCCCAGATTCCATCCCCTTCTCCCAGATTCCATCCCCTTCTCCCAGATTCCATCCCCTTCTCCCAGATTCCATCCCCTTCTCCTTGATTCCATCCCCTTTTCCCAAATTCCATCCCTTCTCCCAGATTCCATCACCTTCTCCCAGATTCCATCCCTTTCTCCCTCATTCCATCCCCTTCTCCCAGATTCCATCCCCTTCTCCCAGATTCCATCCCCTTCTTTCAGATTTCATCCCCTTCTTCCAGATTCCATCCCCTTCTCCCTGATTCCATCCCCTTCTCCCAGATTTCATCCCCTTCTCCCAGATTCCATCCCCTTGAACCAGATTCCATCCCCTTCTCCCAGATTCCATCCCCTTCTCCCTGATTCCATCCCCTTCTCTCATATTCCATCCTTTCTACTAGATTCCATCCCCTTCTCCCAGATTCCATCCCCTTCTCCCTCATTCCATCCCATTCTCCCAGATTCCATCCCCTTGTCCCAGATTCCATCCCCTTCTCCCAGATTCCATCCCCTTCTCCCTGATTCCATCCCCTTCTCCCTGATTCCATCCCCTTCTCCCAGATTCCATCCCCTTCTCCCAGATTCCATCCCCTTCTCCTTGATTCCATCCCCTTTTCCCAAATTCCATCCCTTCTCCCAGATTCCATCACCTTCTCCCAGATTCCATCCCTTTCTCCCTCATTCCATCCCCTTCTCCCAGATTCCATCCCCTTCTCCCAGATTCCATCCCCTTCTTTCAGATTTCATCCCCTTCTTCCAGATTCCATCCCCTTCTCCCTGATTCCATCCCCTTCTCCCAGATTTCATCCCCTTCTCCCAGATTCCATCCCCTTGAACCAGATTCCATCCCCTTCTCCCAGATTCCATCCCCTTCTCCCTGATTCCATCCCCTTCTCTCATATTCCATCCTTTCTACTAGATTCCATCCCCTTCTCCCAGATTCCATCCCCTTCTCCCTCATTCCATCCCATTCTCCCAGATTCCATCCCCTTGTCCCAGATTCCATCCCCTTCTCCCAGATTCCATCCCCTTCTCCCTGATTCCATCCCCTTCTCCCTGATTCCATCCCCTTCTCCCAGATTCCATCCCCTTCTCCCAGATTCCATCCCCTTCTCCCAGATTCCATCCCCTTCTCCCAGATTCCATCCCCTTCTCCCAGATTCCATCCCCTTTACCCACATTCCATCCCCTTCTCCCAGATTCCATCCCCTTCTCCCTCATTCCATCCCCTTCTCCCAGATTCCATCCCCTTCTCCAAGATTCCATCCCCATCTCCCAGATTCCATCCCCTTCTCCCAGATTCCATCCCCTTCCCCTAAATTCCATCCCCTTCTCCCTAATTGCATCCCCTTCTCCCAGATTCCATCCTCTTCTCCCAGATTCTATCCCCTTCTCCGAGATTACATCCCCTTCTCCCAGATTCCATCCCCTTCTCCCAGATTCCATCCCCTTCTCCCTGATTCCATCCCCTTCTCCCAGATTCCATCCCCTTCTCCCAGATTCCACCCCCTTCTCCAAGATTCCATCCCCTTCTCCCTGATTCCATCCCCTTCTCCCTGATTCCATCCCCTTTTCCCAGATTCCATCCCCTTCTCCCAGATTCCATCCCCTTCTCACAGATTCCACCCCCTTCTCCTAGATTCCATCCCCTTCTCCCAGATTCCATCCCCTTTACCCAGATTCCATCCCCTTCTCCCAGATTCCATCCCCTCCTCCCTCATTCCATCCCCTTCTCCCAGATTCCATCCCCTTCTCCCAGATTCCATCCCCATCTCCCAGATTCCATCCCCTTCTCCCAGATTCCATCCCCTTCCCCTAAATTCCATCCCCTTCTCCCTAATTGAATCCCCTTCTCCCAGATTCCATCCCCTTCTCCCAGATTCTATCCCCTTCTCCGAGATTCCATCCCCTTCTCCCAGATTCCATCCCCTTCTCCCAGATTCCATCCCCTTCTCCCTGACTCCATCCCCTTCTCCTAGATTCCATCCCCTTCTCCCAGATTCCACCCCCTTCTCCCAGATTCCATCCCCTTCTCCCAGATTCCATCCCCTTCTCCCTGATTCCATCCCCTTTTTTCCAGATTCCATCCCCTTCTCCTAGATTCCATCCCCTTCTCCCAGATTCCATCCCCTTCTCCCAGATTCCATCCCCTTCTCCTTGATTCCATCCCCTTCTCCCAAATTCCATCCCTTCTCCCAGATTCCATCCCCTTCTCCCAGATTCCATCCCCTTCTCCCTCATTCCATCCCCTTCTCCCAGATTCCATCCCCTTCTTCCAGATTCCATCCCCTTCTCCTTGATTCCATCCCCTTCTCCCATATTTAATCCCCTTCTCCCAGATTCCATCCCCTTCAACCAGATTCCATCCCCTTCTCCCAAATTCCATCCCCTTCTCCCTGATTCCATCCCCTTCTCTCAGATTCCATCCTTTCTACCAGATTCCATCCCCTTCTCCCAGATTCCATCCCCTTCTCCCTCATTCCATCCCATTCTCCCAGATTCCATCCCTTCTCCTTGATTCCATCCCCTTCTCCCAGATTCCATCCCCTTCTCCTAGATTCCATCCCCTTCTCCCTGATTCCATCCCCTTCTCCCAGATTCCATCCCCTTCTCCCAGACTCCATCCCCTTCTCCCAGATTCCATCCCCTTCCCCCGATTCCATCCCCTTCTCCCAGATTCCATCCCCTTCTCCCGGATTCCATCCCCTTCTGCCAGATTCCATCCCCTTCTCCCAGATTCCATCCCCTTCTTTCAGATTCCATCCCCTTCTCCCAGATTCCATCCCCTTCTCCCAGATTCCATCCCCTTTACCCAGATTCCATCCCCTTCTCCCAGATTCCATCCCCTTCTCCCTCATTCCATCCCCTTCTCCCAGATTCCATCCCCTTCTCCCAGATTCCATCCCCATCTCCCAGATTCCATCCCCTTCTCCCAGATTCCATCCCCTTCCCCTAAATTCCATCCCCTTCTCCCTAATTGCATCCCCTTCTCCCAGATTTCATCCCCTTCTCCCAGATTCTATCCCCTTCTCCGAGATTCCATCCCCTTCTCCCAGATTCCATCCCCTTCTCCCAGATTCCATCCCCTTCTCCTAGATTCCATCCCCTTCTCCCAGATTCCATCCCCTTCTCCCAGATTCCACCCCCTTCTCCAAGATTCCATCCCCTTCTCCCTGATTCCATCCCCTTCTCCCTGATTCCATCCCCTTTTCCCAGATTCCATCCCCTTCTCCCAGATTCCATCCCCTTCTCCTAGATTCCACCCCCTTCTCCTAGATTCCATCCTCTTCTCCCTCATTCCATCCCCTTTACCCAGATTCCATCCCCTTCTCCCAGATTCCATCCCCTTCTCCCTCATTCCATCCCCTTCTCCCAGATTCCATCCCCTTCTCCCAGATTCCATCCCCATCTCCCAGATTCCATCCCCTTCTCTCAGATTCCATCCCCTTCCCCTAAATTCCATCCCCTTCTCCCTAATTGAATCCCCTTCTCCCAGATTCCATCCTCTTCTCCCAGATTCTATCCCCTTCTCCGAGATTCCATCCCCTTCTCCCAGATTCCATCCCCTTCTCCCAGATTCCATCCCCTTCTCCCTGACTCCATCCCCTTCTCCTAGATTCCATCCCCTTCTCCCAGATTCCACCCCCTTCTCCCAGATTCCATCCCCTTCTCCCAGATTCCATCCCCTTCTCCCTGATTCCATCCCCTTTTCCCAGATTCCATCCCCTTCTCCTAGATTCCATCCCCTTCTCCCAGATTCCATCCCCTTCTCCCAGATTCCATCCCCTTCTCCTTGATTCCATCCCCTTCTCCCAGATTCCATCCCCTTCTTCCAGATTCCATCCCTTCTCCCAGATTCCATCCCCTTCTTCCAGATTCCATCCTCTTCTCCCAGATTCTATCCCCTTCTCCGAGATTCCATCCCCTTCTCCCAGATTCCATCCCCTTCTCCCAGATTCCATCCCCTTCTCCCTGACTCCATCCCCTTCTCCTAGATTCCATCCCCTTCTCCCAGATTCCACCCCCTTCTCCCAGATTCCATCCCCTTCTCCCAGATTCCATCCCCTTCTCCCTGATTCCATCCCCTTTTCCCAGATTCCATCCCCTTCTCCTTGATTCCATCCCCTTCTCCCAGATTCCATCCCCTTCTCCCAAATTCCATCCCTTCTCCCAGATTCCATCCCCTTCTCCCAGATTCCATCCCCTTCTCCCTCATTCCATCCCCTTCTCCCAGATTCCATCCCCTTCTTCCAGATTCCATCCCCTTCTCCTTGATTCCATCCCCTTCTCCCATATTTCATCCCCTTCTCCCAGATTCCATCCCCTTCAACCAGATTCCATCCCCTTATCCCAGATTCCATCCCCTTCTCCCTGATTCCATCCCCTTCTCTCAGATTCCATCCTTTCTACCAGATTCCATCCCCTTCTCCCAGATTCCAACCCCTTCTCCCTCATTCCATCCCATTCTCCCAGATTCCATCCCCTTATCCCAGATTCCATCCCCTTCTCCCAGATTCCATCCCCTTCTCCCTGATTCCATCCCCTTCTCCCTGATTCCATCCCCTTCTCCCAGATTCCATCCCCTTCTCCCAGATTCCATCCCCTTCTCCCAGATTCCATCCCCTTCCCCCGATTCCATCCCCTTCTCCCAGATTCCATCCCCTTCTCCCGGATTCCATCCCCTTCTGCCAGATTCCATCCCCTTCTCCCAGATTCCATCCCCTTCTCCCAGATTCCATCCCCTTCTCCCAGATTCCATCCCCTTCTCCCAGATTCCATCCCCTTTACCCAGATTCCATCCCCTTCTCCCAGATTCCATCCCCTTCTCCCTCATTCCATCCCCTTCTCCCAGATTCCATCCCCTTCTCCCAGATTCCATCCCCATCTCCCAGATTCCATCCCCTTCTCCCAGATTCCATCCCCTTCCCCTAAATTTCATCCCCTTCTCCCTAATTGCATCCCCTTCTTCCAGATTTCATCCCCTTCTCCCAGATTCTATCCCCTTCTCCGAGATTCCATCCCCTTCTCCCAGATTCCATCCCCTTCTCCCAGATTCCATCCCCTTCTCCCTGATTCCATCCCCTTCTCCCAGATTCCATCACCTTCTCCCAGATTCCACCCCTCTCTCCCAGACTCCATCCCCTTCTCCCAGATTCCATCCCCTTCTCCCTGATTCCATCCCCTTTTCCCAGATTCCATCCCCTTCTCCCAGATTCCATCCCCTTCTCCCAGATTCCACCTCCTTCTCCTAGATTCCATCCCCTTCTCCCAGATTCCATCCCCTTCTCCCTGATTCCATCCCCTTTTCCCAGATTCCATCCCCTTCTCCCAGATTCCATCCCCTTCTCCCAGATTCCATCCCCTTCTCCCATATTCCATCCCCTTCTCCCAGATTCTATCCCCTTCTCCGAGATTCCATTCCCTTCTCCCAGATTCCATCCCCTTCTCCCAGATTCCATCCCCTTCTCCCAGATTCCATCCTCTTCTCCCAGATTCCATCCCCTTCTCCCAGATTCCATCCCCTTCTCCCAGATTCCATCCACTTCTCCCTCATTCCATCTCCTTCTCCCAGATTCCATCCCCTTCTCCCAGCTTCCATCCTCTTCTCCCAGATTCCATCCCCTTCTCCCCGATTCCATCCCCTTCTCCCAGATTCCATCCCCTTCTCCCGGATTCCATCCCCTTCTCCCAGATTCCATCCCCTTCTCCCGGATTCCATCCCCTTCTCCCTGATTCCACCTCCTTCTCCCGGATTCCATCCCCTTCTCCCGGACTCCATCCCCTTCTCCCTGATTCCATCCCCTTCTCCCAGATTCCATCCCCTTCTCCCAGATTCCATCCTTTTCTCCCATATTCCATCCCCTTCACCCAAATTCCATCCCCTTCTCCCAGATTCCATCCCCTTCTCCCATATTCAATCCCCTTCTCCCTGATTCTTTCCCCTTCTCCCAGATTCCATCCCCTTCTTCCAGATTCCACCCCCTTATCCCAGATTCCATCCCCTTCTCTCCGATTTCATCCCCTTCTTTCTGATTCCATCCCCTTCTCCCAGATTCCATCCCCTTCTCCTAGATTCCATACCCTTCTCCCCGATTCCATCCCCTTCTCCCGGATTCCATCCCCTTCTCCCAGATTCCATCCCCTTCTCCCGGATTCCATACCCTTCTCCTTGATTCCACCCCCTTCTCCCAGATTCCATCCCCTTCTCCCGGACTCCATCCCCTTCTCCCTGATTCAATCCCCTTCTCCGAGATTTCATCCCCTTCTCCTAGATTCCATCCCCTTCTCCCATATTCCATCCCCTTCACCCAGATTCCATCCCCTTCTCCCATATTCCATCCCCTTCTCCCAGATTCCATCCCCTTCTCCCAGATTCTATCCCCTTCTCCCAGATTCCATCCCCTTCTGCTTGATTCCACCCCCTTCTCCCTGATTCCATCCCCTTCTCCCGGACTCCATCCCCTTCTCCCTGATTCAATCCCCTTCTCCCAGATTTCATCCCCTTCTCCCAGATTCCATCCCCTTCTCCCATATTCCATCCCCTTCACCCAGATTCCATCCCCTTCTCCCATATTCCATCCCCTTCTCCCAGATTCCATCCCCTTCTCCCAGATTCTATCCCCTTCTCCCAGATTCCATCCCCTTCTCCCATTCCATCCCCTTCTCCCAGATTCCATCCCCTTCTCCCAGATTCCATCCCCTTCTCCCAGATTCCATCCCCTTCCCCCAGATTCCATCCCCATCTCCCTGATTCCATCCCCTTGTCCCACATTCCATTCCCTTCTCCCATATTCCATCCCCTTCTCCCAGATTCCATCCCCTTCTCCCAGATTCCATCCCCCTCTCTTAGATTCCATCCCCTTCTCCTTGATTCCATCCCCTTCTCCTTGATTCCATCCCCTTCTCCCAGATTCCATCCCCTTCTCCCAGATTCCATCCCCTTCTCCCAGATTCTGTCCCCTTCTCCCAGATTCCATCCCCTTCTCCCGGATTCCATCCCTTTCTCCCAGATTCCATCCCCTTCTCCTGGATTCCATCCCCTTCTCCCAGATTCCATCCCCTTCTCTCATATTCCATCCCCTTCTCCCAGATTCCATCCCCTTCCCCTATATTCCATCCCCATCTCCCAGATTCCATCCCCTTCTCCCGGATTCCATCCCCTTCTCCCAGATTCCACCCCCTTCTCCCAGATTCCATCCCCTTCTCCCAGATTCCATCCCCTTCTCCCTGATTCCATCCCCTTCTCCCAGATTCCATCCCCTTCTCCCAGATTCCATCCCCTTCTCCCATATTCCATCCCCTTCACCCAGATTCCATCCCCTTCTCCCAGATTCCATCCCCTTCTCCCAGATTCCATCCCCTTATCCCATATTCCATCCCCTCCTCCCCGATTCCATCCCCTTCTCCCTGATTCCATCCCCTTCACTCAGATTCTATCCCCTTCTCCCTCATTCAATTTCCTTCTCCCGGATTCCATCCCCTTTTCCCTGATTCTATCCCCTTCTCCCATATTCCATCCCCTTCTCCCAAATTCCATCCCCTTCTCCCAGATTCTATCCCCTTCTCCCAGATTCCATCCCCTTCTCCCAGATTCCACCCCCTTCTCCCAAATTCCATCCCCTTCTCCCAGATTCCATCCCCTTCTCCCTGATTCCATCCCCTTCTCCCAGATTCCATCCCCTTCTCCCAGATTCCATCCCCTTCTCCCAGATTCCATCCCCTTCTCCCAGATTCCATCCCCTTCTCCCAGATTCCATCCCCGTCTCCCGGATTCCATCCCCTTCTCCCTGATTCCACCCCCTTCTCCCAGATTCCATCCCCTTCTCCCAGATTCCATCCCCTTCTCCCTGATTCCATCCCCTTCTCCCAGATTCCATCCCCTTCTCCCAGATTCCATCCCCTTCTCCCATATTCCATCCCCCTCACCCAGATTCCATCCCCTTCTCCCAGATTCCATCCCCTTCTCCCAGATTCCATCCCCTTCTCCCATATTCCATCCCCTTCTCCCCGATTCCATCCCCTTCTCCCTGATTCCATCCCCTTCACTCAGATTCCATCCCCTTCTCCCTCATTCCATTTCCTTCTCCCAGATTCCATCCCCTTTTCCCTGATTCTATCCCCTTCTCCCAGATTCCATCCCCTTCTCCCAAATTCCATCCCCTTCTCCCAGATTCTATCCCCTTCTCCCAGATTCCATCCCCTTCTCCCAGATTCCACCCCCTTCTCCCAAATTCCATCCCCTTCTCCCAGATTCCATCCCCTTCTCCCTGATTCCATCCCCTTCTCTCAGATTCCATCCCCTTCTCCCAGATTCCATCCCCTTCTCCCAGATTCCATCCCCTTCTCCCGGATTCCATCCCCTTCTCCCAGATTCTATCCCCGTCTCCCGGATTCCATCCCCTTCTCCCTGATTCCACCGCCTTCCCCCATATTCCATCCCCTTCTCCCGGACTGCATCCCCTTCTCCCTGATTCCATCCCCTTCTCCCAACTTCCATCCCCTTCTCCCATATTCCATCCCCTTCTCCCATATTCCATCCCCTTCACCCAGATTCCATCCCTTTCTCCCAGATTCCATCCCCTTCTCCAAGATTCCATCCCCTTCTCCCTGATTCCATCCCCTTCTCCCAGATTCCATCCCCTTCTCCCAGATTCCATCCCCTTCTCCCATATTCCATCCCCTTCACCCAGATTCCATCCCCTTCTCCCAGATTCCATCCCCTTCTCCAAGATTCCATCCCCTTCTCCCAGATTCTATCCCCTTCTCCGAGATTCCATCCCCTTCTCCCAGATTCCATCCCCTTCTCCCAGATTCCATCCCCTTCTCCCTGACTCCATCCCCTTCTCCCAGATTCCATCCCCTTCTCCCAGATTCCACCCCCTTCTCCCAGATTCCATCCCCTTCTCCCAGATTCCATCCCCTTCTCCCTAATTCCATCCCCTTTTTCCCACATTCCATCCCCTTCTCCCAGATTCCATCCCCTTCTCCCAGATTCCATCCCCTTCTCCCAGATTCCATCCCCTTCTCCTTGATTCCATCCCCTTCTCCCAAATTCCATCCCTTCTCCTAGATTCCATGCCCTTCTCCCAGATTCCATCCCCTTCTCCCTCATTCCATCTCCTTCTCCCAGATTCCATCCCCTTCTCCCAGATTCCATCCCCTTCTCCCAGATTCCATCCCCTTCTTCCAGATTCCATCCCCTTCTCTCTGATTCCATCCCCTTCTTCCAGATTTCATCCCCTTCTCCCAGATTCCATCCCCTTCAACCAGATTCCATCCCCTTCTCCCAGATTCCATCCCCTTCTCCCTAATTCCATCCCCTTCTCTCAGATTCCATCCTTTCTACGAGATTCCATCCCCTTCTCCCAGATTCCATCCCCTTCTCCCTCATTCCATCCCATTCTCCCAGATTCCATCCCCTTGTCCCAGATTCCATCCCCTTCTCCCAGATTCCATCCCCTTCTCCCTGATTCCATCCCCTTCTCCCTGATTCCATCCCCTTCTCCCAGATTCCATCCCCTTCTCCCAGATTCCATCCCCTTCTCCCAGATTCCATCCCCTTCTCCCGATTCCATCCCCTTCTCCCAGATTCCATCCCCTTCTCCCGGATTCCATCCCCTTCTGCCAGATTCCATCCCCTTCTCCCAGATTCCATCCTCTTCTCCCAGATTCCATCCCCTTCTCCCATATTCCATCCCCTTTACCCAGATTCTATCCCCTTCTCCCAGATTCCATCCCCTTCTCCCTCATTCCATCCCCTTCTCCCAGATTCCATCCCCTTCTCCCAGATTCCATCCCCATCTCCCAGATTCCATCCCCTTCTCCTAGATTCCATCCCCTTCCCCTAAATTCCATCCCCTTCTCCCTTATTGCATCCCCTTCTCCCAGATTCCATCCCCTTCTCCCAGATTCCATCCCCTTCTCCCTGATTCCATCCCCTTCTCCCAGATTCCATCCCCTTCTCCCAGATTCCACCCCCTTCTCCCAGATTCCATCATCTTCTCCCAGATTCCATCCCCTTCTCCCTGATTCCATCCCCTTTTTTACCAGATTCCATCCCCTTCTCCCAGATTCCATCCCCTTCTCCCATATTCCACCCCCTTCTCCTAGATTCCATCCCCTTCTCCCAGATTCCATCCCCTTCTCCCTGATTCCATCCCCTTTTCCCAGATTCCATCCCCTTCTCCCAGATTCCATCCCCTTCTCCCAGATTCCATCCCCTTCTCCCATATTCCATCCCCTTCTCCCAGATTCTATCCCCTTCTCCGAGATTCCATTCCCTTCTCCCAGATTCCATCCCCTTCTCCCAGATTCCATCCCCTTCTCCCTGATTCCATCCCCTTCTCCTAGATTCTATCCCCTTCTCCCAGATTCCTCCCCCTTCTCCCAGATTCCATCCCCTTCTCCCAGATTCCATCCCCTTCTCCCTGATTCCATCCCCTTTTCCCAGATTCCATCCCCTTCTCCCAGATTCCATCCCCTTCTCCCAGATTTTATCCCCTTCTCCCGGATTCCATCCCCTTCTCCCAGATTCCATCCCCTTCTCACGGATTCCATCCCCTTCTCCCTGATTCCACCCCCTTCTCCCAGATTCCATCCCCTTCTCCCGGACTCCATTCCCTTCTCCCTGATTCCATCCCCTTCTCCCAGATTCCATCCCCTTCTCCCTGATTCCATCCCCTTCTCCCAGATTCCATCCCCTTCTTCCAGATTCCACCCCCTTCTCCCAGATTCCATCCCCTTCTCCCAGATTCTATCCCCTTCTTCGAGATTCCATCCCCTTCTCCCAGATTCCATCCCCTTCTCCCAGATTCCATCCCCTTCTCCCTGATTCCATCCCCTTCTCCCAGATTCCATCCCCTTCTCCCAGATTCCACCCCCTTCTCCCAGATTCCATCCCCTTCTCCCAGATTCCATCCCCTTCTCCCTGATTCCATCCCCTTTTCCCAGATTCCATCCCCTTCTCCCAGATTCCATCCCCTTCTCCCAGATTCCACCCCCTTCTCCTAGATTCCATCCCCTTCTCCCAGATTCCATCCCCTTCTCCCTGATTCCATGCCCTTTTCCCAGATTCCATCCCCTTCTCCCAGATTCCATCCCCTTCTCCCAGATTCCATCCCCTTCTCCCATATTCCATCCCCTTCTCCCAGATTCTATCCCCTTCTCCGAGATTCCATTCCCTTCTCCCAGATTCCATCCACTTCTCCCAGATTCCATCCCCTTCTCCCTGATTCCATCCCCTTCTCCCAGATTCTATCCCCTTCTCCCAGATTCCACCCCCTTCTCCCAGATTCCATCCCCTTCTCCCAGATTCCATCCTCTTCTCCCAGATTCCATCCCCTTTTCCCAGATTCCATCCCCTTCTCCCAGATTCCATCCCCTTCTCCCAGATTTTATCCCCTTCTCCCGGATTCCATCCCCTTCTCCCAGATTCCATCCCCTTCTCACGGATTCCATCCCCTTCTCCCTGATTCCACCCCCTTCTCCCAGATTCCATCCCCTTCTCCCTGATTCCATCCCCTTCTCCCTGATTCCATCCCCTTCTCCCAGATTCCATCCCCTTCTCCCAGATTCCATCCCCTTCTCCCAGATTCCATCCCCTTCTCCCGAATCCATCCCCTTCTCCCAGATTCCATCCCCTTCTCCCGGATTCCATCCCCTTCTGCCAGATTCCATCACCTTCTCCCAGATTCCATCCCCTTCTCCCAGATTCCATCCCCTTCTCCCAGATTCCATCCCCTTTACCCAGATTCTATCCCCTTCTCCCAGATTCCATCCCCTTCTCCCTCATTCCATCCCCTTCTCCCAGATTCCATCCCCTTCTCCCAGATTCCATCCCCATCTCCCAGATTCCATCCCCTTCTCCTAGATTCCATCCCCTTCCCCTAAATTCCATCCCCTTCTCCCTAATTGCATCCCTTTCTCCCAGATTCCATCCCCTTCTCCCAGATTCCATCCCCTTCTCCCAGATTCCATCCCCTTCTCCCTGATTCCATCCCCTTCTCCCAGATTCCATCCCCTTCTCCCAGATTCCACCCGATTCTCCCAGATTCCATCCCCTTCTCCCAGATTCCATCCCCTTCTCCCTGATTCCATCCCCTTTTCCCAGATTCCATCCCCTTCTCCCAGATTCCATCCCCTTCTCCCATATTCCACCCCCTTCTCCTAGATTCCATCCCCTTCTCCCAGATTCCATCCCCTTCTCCCTGATTCCATCCCCTTTTCCCAGATTCCATCCCCTTCTCCCAGATTCCATCCCCTTCTCCTAGATTCCATCCCCTTCTCCCATATTCCATCCCCTTCTCCCAGATTCTATCCCCTTCTCTGAGATTCCATTCCCTTCTCCCAGATTCCATCCCCTTCTCTCAGATTCCATCCCCTTCTCCCTGATTCCATCCCCTTCTCCCAGATTCTATCCCCTTCTCCCAGATTCCTCCCCCTTCTCCCAAATTCCATCCCCTTCTCCCAGATTCCGTCCCCTTCTCCCTGATTCCATCCCCTTTTCCCAGATTCCATCCCCTTCTCCCAGATTCCATCCCCTTCTCCCAGATTTTATCCCCTTCTCCCGGATTCCATCCCCTTCTCCCAGATTCCATCCCCTTCTCACGGATTCCATCCCCTTCTCCCTGATTCCACCCCCTTCTCCCAGATTCCATCCCCTTCTCCCGGACTCCATCCCCTTCTCCCTGATTCCATCCCCTTCTCCCAGATTCCATCCCCTTCTCCCAGATTCCATCCCCTTCTCCCAGATTCCATCCCCTTCTTCCAGATTCCACCCCCTTCTCCCAGATTCCATCCCCTTCTCCAAGATTCTATCCCCTTCTTCGAGATTCCATCCCCTTCTCCCAGATTCCATCCCCTTCTCCCAGATTCCATCCCCTTCTCCCTGATTCCATCCCCTTCTCCCAGATTCCATCCCCTTCTCCCAGATTCCACCCCCTTCTCCCAGATTCCATCCCCTTCTCCCAGATTCCATCCCCTTCTCCCTGATTCCATCCCCTTTTCCCAGATTCCATCCCCTTCTCCCAGATTCCATCCCCTTCTCCCAGATTCCACCCCCTTCTCCTAGATTCCATCCCCTTCTCCCAGATTCCATCCCCTTCTCCCTGATTCCATCCCCTTTTCCCAGATTCCATCCCCTTCTCCCAGATTCCATCCCCTTCTCCCAGATTCCATCCCCTTCTCCCATATTCCATCCCCTTCTCCCAGATTCTATCCCCTTCTCCGAGATTCCATTCCCTTCTCCCAGATTCCATCCCCTTCTCCCAGATTCCATCCCCTTCTCCCTGATTCCATCCCCTTCTCCCAGATTCTATCCCCTTCTCCCAGATTCCACCCCCTTCTCCCAGATTCCATCCCCTTCTCCCAGATTCCATCCTCTTCTCCCAGATTCCATCCCCTTTTCCCAGATTCCATCCCCTTCTCCCAGATTCCATCCCCTTCTCCCAGATTCCATCCCCTTCTCCCTGATTCCATCCCCTTCTCCCAGATTCTATCCCCTTCTCCCAGATTCCACCCCCTTCTCCCAGATTCCATCCCCTTCTCCCAGATTCCATCCTCTTCTCCCAGATTCCATCCCCTTTTCCCAGATTCCATCCCCTTCTCCCAGATTCCATCCCCTTCTCCCAGATTTTATCCCCTTCTCCCGGATTCCATCCCCTTCTCCCAGATTCCATCCCCTTCTCACGGATTCCATCCCCTTCTCCCTGATTCCACCCCCTTCTCCCAGATTCCATCCCCTTCTCCCGGACTCCATCCCCTTCTCCCTGATTCCATCCCCTTCTCCCAGATTCCATCCCCTTCTCTCAGATTCCATCCTTTTCTCCCATATTCCATCCCCTTCACCCAGATTCCATCCCCTTCTCCCAGATTCCATCCCCTTCTCCCATATTCCATCCCCTTCTCCCAGATTCTTTCCCCTTCTCCCAGATTCCATCCCCTTCTTCCAGATTCCACCCCCTTCTCCCAGATTCCATCCCCTTCTCCCAGATTCCATCCCCTTCTCCTAGATTCCATCCCCTTCTCCCAGATTCCATCCCCTTCTCCCGGATTCCATCCCCTTCTCCCAGATTCCATCCCCTTCTCCCGGATTCCATCCCCTTCTCCTTGATTCCACCCCCTTCTCCCAAATTCCATCCCCTTCTCCCGGACTCCATCCCCTTCTCCCTGATTCCATCCCCTTCTCCCAGATTCCATCCCCTTCTCCCTGATTCTATCCCCTTCTCCCATATTCCATTCCCTTCACCCAGATTCCATCCCCTTCTCCCATATTCCATCCCCTTCTCCCAGATTCCATCCCCTTCTCCCAGATTCTATCCCCTTCTCCCAGATTCCATCCCCTTCTCCCATTCCATCCCCTTCTCCCAGATTCCATCCCCTTCTCCCAGATTCCATCCCCTTCTCCCAGATGCCATCCCCTTCTCCCAGATTCCATCCCCTTCCCCTAGATTCCATCCCCATCTCCCTGATTCCATCCCCTTGTCCTAGATTCCATCCCCTTCTCCCAGATTCCATCCCCTTCTCCCAGATTCCATCCCCTTCTCCCAGATTCCATCCCCTTCTCCCAGATTCCATCCCCTTCTCCTTGATTCCATCCCCTTCTCCCAGATTCCATCCCCTTCTCCAAGATTCCACCCCCTTCTCCCAGATTCCATCCCCTTCTTCCAGATTCCATCCCCTTCTCGCGGATTCCATCCCTTTCTCCCAGATTCCATCCCCTTCTCCCAGATTTTATCCCCTTCTCCCGGATTCCATCCCCTTCTCCCAGATTCCATCCCCTTCTCACGGATTCCATCCCCTTCTCCCAGATTCCATCCCCTTCCCCTAGATTCCATCCCCATCTCCCGGATTCCATCCCCTTCTCCCAGATTCCACCCCCTTCTCCCATATTCCATCCCCTTCTCCCTGATTCCATCCCCTTCTCCCAGATTCCATCCCCTTCTCCCATATTCCATCCCCTTCACCCAGATTCCATCCCCTTCTCCCAGATTCCATCCCCTTCTCCCATATTCCATCCCCTTCTCCCAGATTCCATCCCCTTCTCCCCGATTCCATCCCCTTCTCCCTGATTCCATCCCCTTCTCTCAGATTCCATCCCCTTCTCCCTCATTCCAACTCCTTCTCCCAGATTCCATCCCCTTTTCCCTGATTCTATCCCCTTCTCCCAGATTCCATCCCCTTCCCCTAAATTCCATCCCCTTCTCCCTAATTGAATCCCTTTCTCCCAGATTCCATCCCTTTCTCCCAGATTCTATCCCCTTCTCCGAGATTCCATCCCCTTCTCCCAGATTCCATCCCCTTCTCCCAGATTCCATCCCCTTCTCCCTGACTCCATCCCCTTCTCCCAGATTCCATCCCCTTCTCCTAGATTCCACCCCCTTCTCCCAGATTCTATCCCCTTCTCCGAGATTCCATCCCCTTCTCCCAGATTCCATCCCGTTCTCCCAGATTCCATCCCCTTCTCCCTGACTCCATCCCCTTCTCCCAGATTCCATCCTCTTCTCCCAGATTCCACCCCCTTCTCCCAGATTCCATCCCCTTCTCCCAGATTCCATCACCTTCTCCCTGATTCCATCCCCTTTTCCCCGATTCCATCCCCTTCTCCCTGATTCCATCCCCTTCTCCCTGGAAAGCGGGAGGATGAGGCGGGGTGATGGAAAGCGGGAGAATGGGGCGGGGTGATGGAAGGAGGGAAAATAGGGTGGGGTGATGGAAGGAGGGAGAATGGGGCAGGGTGATGGAAAGCGGGAGAATGTGGCGGGGTGATGGAAAGCGGAAGAATGAGGCGGGGTGATCAAAGGAGGGAGAATGGGGCGGGTTGATGGAAGGAGGGAGAATGGGACGGGGTGATGGAAGGAGGGAGAATGGGGAGGGGTGATGGAGAGCGGGAGAATGGGACGGGGTGATGGAAAGCGGGCGAATGGGGCAGGGTGATGGAAAGCGGGAGAATGGGGCGGGGTGATGGAAAGCGGGAGAATAAGGCGGAGTGATGGAAAGCGGGAGAATGGGGCGGGGTGATGGAAAGAGGGAGAATGGGGCGGGGTGATGGAAAGCGGGAGAATGGGGCAGGGTGATGGAAAGCGGGAGAACGGGGCGGGGTGATGGAAATTGGGAGAATGGGGCAGGGTGATGGAAAGCGGGAGAACGGGGCGGGGTGATGGAAAGCGGGAGAATGGGGCAGGGTGATGGAAAGCGGGCGAATGCGGCAGGGTGATGGAAAGTGTGAGAATGGGACGGGGTGATGGAAAGCAGGAGAATGGGGCGGATGATGGAAAGCGGGAGAATGGGGCGGGGTGATGGAAAGCGGGAGAATGGGGAGGGTTTAGGGAAGGAGGGAGAATCGGGCGGGGTGATGGAAGGAGGGAGAATGAGGCGGGGTGATGGAAAGCGGGAGAATGAGGCGGGGTGATGGATAGCGGGAGAATGGGGCGGGGTGATAGAAAGCGAGAGAATGGGGCGGGGTGATGGAAAGCGGGAGAATGGGACGGGGTGATGGAAAGCGGAAGAATGGGGCGGGGTGATGGAAAGCGGGAGAATGGGGCGGGGTGATGGAAAGCGGGGGAATGGGACGGGGTGATGGAAAGCGGGAGGATGAGGCGGGGTGATGGAAAGCGGGAGAATGGGGCGGGGTGATGGAAGGAGGGAAAATAGGGTGGGGTGATGGAAGGAGGGAGAATGGGGCGGGAGGATGGAAAGCGGGAGAATGTGGCGGGGTGATGGAAAGCGGGAGAATGAGGCGGGGTGACCAAAGGAGGGAGAATGGGGCGGGTTGATGGAAGGAGGGAGAATGGGACGGGGTGATGGAAGGAGGGAGAATGGGGAGGGGTGATGGAGAGCGGGAGAATGGGACGGGGTGATGGAAAGCGGGAGAACGGGGCGGGGTGATGGAAAGCGGGCGAATGGGGGAGGGTGATGGAAAGCGGGAGAATGGGACGGGGTGATGGAAAGCGGGAGAATGGGGCGGAGTGATGGAAAGCGGGAGAATGGGGCGGGGTGATGGAAAGCGGGAGAATGGGGTGCGGTGATGGAAAGCAGGAGAAGGGGGCGGGGTGATGGAAAGCGGGAGAATGGGGCGGGGTGAGGGAAAGCGGGAGAATGGGGCGGAGTTATGGAAAGCGGGAGACTTGGGCGGGGTGAGGGAAAGCGGGAGAATGGGGCGTGGTGATGGAAAGCGGGAGAATGGGGCGGAGTTATGGAAAGCGGGAGAATGGGGCTGAGTTATGGAAGGAGGGAGAAAGGGGGGGGGGTGATGGAAGGAGGGAGAATGGGGCGAGGTGATGGAAGGAGGGAGAATGGGGCGAGGTGATGGAAAGCGTGAGAATGGGGCGGGGTGATGGAAAGCGGGAGAACGGGGCGGGGTGATGGAAGGAGGGAGAATGGGGTGGGGTTATGGAAGGAGGGAGAATGGGGCGGGGTCATGGATAGCGAGAGAATGGGGCGGGGTGATGGAAGGAGGGAGAATGGGGCGGGGTGATTGAACGCGGAAGAATAGGGCGAGGTAATGGAAAGCAGGAGAATGGGGTGGGGTGGTGGAAAGCGGGAGAATGGGGCGCGGTAATGGAAAGCGTTAGAATGGGGCGAGGTGATGGAAAGCGGAAGAATGGGGCGGGGTGATGGAAAGCAGGAGAATGGGGCGGGGTGATGGAAAGCGGAAGAATAGGGCGGAGTGATGGAAAGCGGGAGAATGGGGAGAGGTGATGGAAAGCGGGAGAATGGGGCGGGGTGATGGAAAGCGGGAGAATGGGGCGGGGTGATGGAAAGCGGGAGAATGAGGCGGGGTCATGGAAAGCGGGAGAATGGGGTGCAGTGATGGAAAGCAGGAGAAGGGGGCGGGGTGATGGAAAACGGGAGAATGGGGCGGGGCTATGGAAAGCGGGAAACTGGGGCGGGGTGAGGGAAAGCGGGAGAATGGGGCGGGGTGATGGAAAGCGGGAGAATGGGGCGGGGTGATGGAAAGGGGGAGAACGGGGCGGGGTGATGGAAAGCGGGAGAATGGGGCGGGGTGATGGAAGGAGGGAGGATGGGGCAGGGTGATGGAAGGAGGGAGAATGGGGCGGGGTGATGGAAAGCGGGACAATGGGGCTGGGTGATGGAAGGAGGGAGAATGGGGTGGGGTGATGGAGGGAGGGAGAATGGGCCGGGGTGATGTAAATCGAGAGAATGGGGCGGGGTGTTGGGAAGCGGGAGAATGGGGCGGGATGATGGAAAGCGGGAGAATGTGGCGGGGTGATGGAATGCGGGAGAATGAGGCGGGGTGATCAAAGGAGGGAGAATGGGGCGGGTTGATGGAAGGAGGGAGAATGGGACGGGGTGATGGAAGAGGGGAGAATGGGGAGGGGTGATGGTGAGCGGGAGAATGGGACGGGGTGATGGAAAGCGGGAGAACGGGGCGGGGTGATGGAAAGCGGGCGAATGGGGCAGGGTGATGGAAAGCGGGAGAATGGGGCGGGGAGATGGAAAGCAGGAGAATGGGGCGGAGTGATGGAAAGCGGGAGAATGGGGCGGGGTGATGGAAAGCGGGAGAATGGGGTGCGGGGATGGAAAGCAGGAGAAGGGGGCGGGGTGATGGAAAGCGGGAGAATGGGGCGGGGCTATGGAAAGCGGGAGACTGGGATGGGGAGAGGGAAAGCGGGAGAATGGGGCGTGGTGATGGAAAGCGGGAGAATGGGGCGGGTGATGGAAAGCGGGAGAATGGGGCTGGGTTATGGAAGGAGGGAGAAAGGGGGGGGGGGGGTGATGGAAGGAGGGAGAATGGGGCGAGGTGATGGAAGGAGGGAGAATGGGGCGAGGTGATGGAAAGCGGGAGAATGGGGCGGGGTGATGGAAAGCGGGAGAATGGGGCGGGGTGATGGAAGGAGGGAGAATGGGGTGGGGTTATGGAAGGAGGGAGAATGGGGCGGGGTGATGGAAAGCGAGAGAATGGGGCGGGGTGATGGAAGGAGGGAGAATGGGGCGGGGTGATTGAACGCGGAAGAATAGGGCGAGGTGATGGAAAGCAGGAGAATGGGGTGGGGTGGTGGAAAGCGGGAGAATGGGGCGGGGTAATGGAAAGCGAGAGAATGGGGCGAGGTGATGGAAAGCGGGAGAATGGGGCGGGGTGATGGAAAGCAGGAGAATGGGGCGGGGTGATGGAAAGCGGAAGAACGGGGCGGAGTGATGGAAAGCGGGAGAATGGGGAGAGGTGATGGAAAGCGGGAGAATGGGGCGGGGTGATGGAAAGCGGGAGAATGGGGCGGGGTGATGGAAAGCGGGAGAATGGGGTGCAGTGATGGAAAGCAGGAGAAGGGGGCGGGGTGATGGAGAACGGGAGAATGGGGCGGGGCTATGGAAAGCGGGAGACTGGGGCGGGGTGAGGGAAAGCGGGAGAATGGGGCGGGGTGATGGAAAGCGGGAGAATGGGGCGGGGTGATGGAAAAGGGGAGAACGGGGCGGGGTGATGGAAAGCGGGAGAATGGGGCGGGGTGATGGAAGGAGGGAGGATGGGGCAGGGTGATGGAAGGAGGGAGAATGAGGCGGGGTGATGGAAAGCGGGAGAATGGGGATGGGTGATGGAAGGAGGGAGAATGGGGCGGGGTGATGGAAGGAGGGAGAATGGGCCGGGGTGATGTAAATCGAGAGAATGGGGTGGGGTGTTGGGAAGCGGGAGAATGGGGCGGGGTGGTGGAAGGAGGGAGAATGGGGCGGGGTGATGGAAAGCGGGAGAATGGGGCGGGGTGATGGAAAGCGGGAGAATAGGGCAGGGTGATGGAAAGCGAGACAATGGGGCGGGGTGATAGAAGGAGGGAGAATGGGGCAGGGTGATGGAAAGCGGGAGAATTGGGCGGGGTGATGGAAAGCGGGAGAATGGGGCGGGGTGATGGAGAGCAGGAGAATTGGGCGGGGTGATGGAAAGCGGGAGAATGGGGCGGAGTGATGGAACGCGGGAGAATGGGGCGGGGTGATGGAAAGCAGGAGAATGGGGCTGGGTGATGGAAAGCGGGAGAATAGGGCGGGGTGATGGAAAGCGGGACAATGGGGCGGGGTGATGGAAAGCGGGAGAATGGGGTGTGGTGATGGAAAGCAGGAGAAGGGGGCGAGATGATGGAAAGCGGTAGAATGGGGCGGGGCTATGGAAAGCGGGAGACTGGGGCGGGGTGAGGGAAAGCGGGAAAATGGGACGGGGTGATGGAAAGTGGGAGAATGGGGCGGGGTGATAGAAAGCGGGAGAACGGGGCGGGGTGATGGAAAGCGGGAGAATGGGGCGGGGTGATGGAAGGAGGGAGGATGGGGCAGGGTGATGGAAGGACACCCTAAAGCGTTGCAGTGCTCTTGCCGGACACCCTAAAGCGTTGCAGTGCTCTTGCTGGACACCCCGGAGCGTTGCAATGCATTTCCAGGACACCTCGTAGCGTTGCAATGCTCATGCCCGACACCCTGGAGCGTTGCTGTGCTCTTGCAGGATACCCCGGAGCGTTGCAATGCTCTGGCTAGACACCCTGGAGCGTTGCTGTGCTCTTGCAGGATACCCCGGAGCGTTGCAATGCTCTTGCCGGACACCTTGGAGCTTTGCAATGCTTTTGGCAAACACCCTAGATCGTTGCAATTCTCTTGCCAGACACTCCGGAGCGTTGGTGTGCTCTTGCCGGACACCGCGGAGCGTTGCAGTGCACTTTTCGGACACCCCGGAGCGTTGCAATGCTCTTACCGGACACCCCAGAGCGTTACAATGCTCTTGATGGACACCCTCGAGCGTTGCAGTGCTCTTGCCTGACACCCATGAGCGTTGCAGTGCACTTGCCGGACACTCCTGAGCGTTGCAATGCTCTTGCCCAACACCCAGGAGTGTTGGATTGAACTTGCCAAACACCCCGTAGCGTTGCACTGCTCTTGCCAGACACCCCGGAGTGTTGCAAGGCCCTTGCTAAACACCTTGGAGCGTTGCAATGTTCTTGCCAGACACCCTGGATCGTTGCAAATTGCTTGCCGGACACCCCGGGGCGATGGAAAGCTCTTGTTGACCACCTTGGAGCGTTGCAATGCTCTTGCCGACACCTGGGAGTGTTGCAATGCTCTTGCCGGACACCCCTGGAGCGTTGCAGTGCACTTGCCGAACACCTCGGAGCGTTGCACTGCTCTTGCCGAACACCCCGGAGTGTTGCAGCGCTCTTGCCGGACACCCTAGAGCTTTGCAATGATCTTGCCAAACACCCTCGAGCGTTGCAATGCTCTTGCCGGACACCCCGGATCGTTGCAACGTGCTTGCCGGACACCTCCGAGCGTTGCACTGCTCTTGCCGACACCCTGAAGGGTTGCAATGCTCTTGCGACACACCCTGGAGCGTTGCAATGCTCTTGTTGGACACCTTGGTGCGTTGCAATGCTCTTGCCCGACTCCCCGCAGCATTGCAATGCTCTTGCCGACCACCCTGGAGCGTTGCAATGCTCTTGCCAAACACCCTGGAGCGTTGCAATTCTCTTGCCGGACACCCTCGAGCATTAAAGTTCTCTTGCCGGACACCCCGGAGCGTTGTAGTGCACTTGCCGGACACCTCGGAGCGTTGCAATGCTTTTGCCGGACACCTTGGAGCGTTGCGATGCTCTTGCCTTACATCCCAGAGCGTTGCACTGCACTTGCCAGACACCCTGGAGCGTTACAATGCTCTTGCCGGACACCCTGGAGTGTTGCAATGCTCTTGCTGGACACCCCAGAGCGTTGCAATGCTTTTGCTGGACACCCAGGAGCATTGCGATGCTCTTGACGAACACACTAGAGCGTTGCAATGCTCTTGCCGAACACCCTAGAGCGTTGCAATGCTCTTGCTAGACACCCCAGAGCGTTGCAATGCTTCTGCCGGACACCCTGGAGCGTTGCAAGGCTCTTGCCGAACACCCTGGTGCGCTACACTGCTCTTGCCGACCACCCTGGAGTGTTGCAATGCTCTTGCTGACCACCCAAGAGCGTTGCAATACTCTTGCCGGACACCCCGGAGCGTTGCAATGCTCTTGGCAGACACCTCAGAGCATTGCAGTGCTCTGGCCGGACCCCCCGGAGCTTTGCTGTGCACTTGTTGGACACTCCCGAGTGTTGCAATGCCCTTGACGACCACCCAACAGATTGCAATGCTCTTGCCGGCCACCCTGAAGCGTTGCAATGCTCTTGCCAAACACCCTGTAGCGTTGCAATGCTCTTGCACGACACCCCGGAGCGTTGCAATGCTCCTGCCTGACACACTGTTGCGTTGCAATGCTCTTGCCAAACACCCTAGAGCGTTGCAATGCTCTTGCCGGACAACCCGGAGCGTAGCAATGCTCCTGCCGGACACCCTGGAGCATTGCAAGGCTCTTGCGGGACACCCTGGAGCGCTGCAATGCTCTTGCCGACCACCCTGGAGCGTTGCAATGCTCTTGCCGACCACCCGAGAGCGTTGCAATGCTTTTGCCGGACACCCCGGAGCGTTGCAATGCTCTTGCCTGACACCCTGGAGCATTGCAGTGCACTTGCCGGACACCCTGGAGCGTTGCAGTGCTCTTGCCGGCCACCATCGAGCGTTGCAATGCTCTTGGCAGACACCTCAGAGCATTGCAGTGCTCTTGCCGGATCCCTCGGAGTGTTGTAGTGCACTTGCTGGACACCCTAGAGTGTTGCAATGCTCTTGCCGACCACCCAAGAGCGTTGCAATGCTCTTGCCGGCCACCCTGAAGCATTGCAATGCTCTTGCCGGACACTCAGGAGCGTTGCAATGCTCTTGCACGACACCCCGGAGCGTTCCAGTGCTCCTGCGTGACACCCTGGAGCGTTGCAATGCTCTTGCCGGACACCTTGGAGCGCTGCAATGCTCTTGCCGACCACCCTAGAGCGTTGCAATGCTCTTGCCGACCACCCAGGAGCGTCGTAATGCTCTTGCCGGACACCCAGGAGCGTTGCAATGTTCTTGCTGGCCACCCTAGAGCGTTGCAATGCTCTTGCCGGCCACCCTGGAGCATTCTAGTGCTCTTGCGGGACACCCTAGAGCATTGCAATGCTCTTGTAGGACACCCTGGATCAGTGCAATGCTCTTGACGGACACCCCAGAGCGTTGCAGTGCATTTGCCGGACACCCCGTAGCGTTGCAATGTTCTTGCGGGACACCCTAGAGCGTTGCAATTTCCGGACACCCTGGAGCGTTGCAATGATCTAGCTGGATACCCTGGGAGCGTTGCAGTGCACTTGCCGGATACCATGGAGCGTTGCAATGCTCTTGCCGGACACCTTGTAGTGTTGCAATGCTCTTGCCGGACACCCCAGAGCGTTGCAATGCACTTGCCGGACACCTCCAAGTGTTGCAGTGCTCTTGCTGGACACCTTGGAGCATTGCAATGCTCTTCCCGGACACCCTAGAGCGTTGCAATGCTCTTGGCTGACACCCCAGAGCATTACAGTGCTCTTGCCAGACACATCGGAGCATTGGAGTGCACTTGTTGGACACCCTGGAGTGTTGCAATGCTCTTGCTGACCACCCAGGAGCGTTGCAATGCTCTTGCCGGCCACCCTGAAGCGTTGCAATGCTCTTGCCGGACACCCTGGAGCATTGCAATGCTCTTGCACGACCACCCAGAAGCTTTGCCATGCTCCTACTTGACACCTCAGAGCGTTGCAATGCTCTTGCTGGACACCTTGGAGCGCTGCAATGCTCTTGCCGACCACCCTTGAGCGTTGCAATGCTCTTGCCGACCACCCAGGAGCGTTGCGATGCTCTTGCCGACCACCTAGGAGCATTGCAATGCTCTTGCCGGAGCGTTGCAGTGCACTTGCTGGACACCCCGTAGCGTTACAATGCTCTTGCCGGACACCTTGAAGCGTTGCAATGCACTTGCCGACCACCGTGGAGCATTGCAATGATTTTGCCGGCCACCCTAGAGCGTTGCAAAGCTCTAGCCGGACACCTTGGAGCGTTGCAGTGCACTTACCGAAAACCTCGGAGCGTTGCAATGCTCTTGCCGGACACCCATGAGCGTTGCAATGCTCTTGCCGCACACCCCGGAGCGTTGCAATGCATTTGCCGGACACAACGTAGCGTTGCAATGCTCTTGCCAGACACCCTGGAGCGTTGCAATGCTCTAGCTGGACACCCCGGAGCGTTCTAGTGCACTTGCCAGGCACCCCTGAGCGTTGCAATGCTCTTGCCACACACCCCGGAGCGTTGGTGTGCTCTTGCCGGACACCCCGGAGCGTTGCAATGCTCTTGCCGGACACCCCGGAGCATTGCAATGCTCTTGCTGGACACCCTAGAGCATTGCAGTGCTCTTGCCGGACACTCATGAGCATTGCAGTGCACTTGCCAGACACTCCTGAGCATTGCAATGCTCTTGTCGGACACCCAGTAGCGTTGCAATGCTCTTGCCGAACACCCCAAAGCGTTGGATTTCACTTGCCGAACACCCCGGAGCGTTGCACTGCTCTTGCTGGACACCCTAGAGCGTTGCAATGCTCTTGCCAAACACCCTCGAGCGTTGCAATGCTCTTGCCGGACACCCCGGATCGTTGCAAAGTGCTTTGCGGGACACCTCGGAGCGTTGCACTGCTCTTACTGACACCCTGAAGGGTTGCAATGCTCTTGCAAGACACCCTAGAGCGTTGCAATGCTCTTGCCAGGCACCCTGGAGTGTTGCAATGCTCTTGCCGGACACCCCGCAGCGTTGCAATGCTCTTGCCGACCACCCTGGAGCGTTGCAATGCTCTTGCCAAACACCCTAGAGCGTTGCAATGCTCTTGCCGGACACCTTGAAGGGTGCAGTGCACTTGCAATGCTCCGAGGTGTCCGGCAAGTGCACTGCAATGCTCCGAGGTGTTCGGCAAGAGCACTGCAACGCTCCAGGGTGTCCGGCAAGAGCATTGCAACACTCCAAGGTGTCCGGCAAGTGCAATGCAACGCTCAGGGGTGTCCGGCAAGAGCATTGCAATGCTACAGGGTGTCTAGCATGACCTTTTCAACGCTCCATGGTGTCCAGCAAGAGCATTGCAATGCTCCCGGGTGTCCGGCAGGTGCATTGCAACGCTCCGGGGTGTCGGGCAAGAGCCTTGCAACACTTCAGGGTGTACGGCAAGAACATTGCAACGCTCTGGGGTGTCCGGCAAGAGCATTGCAACGCTCTCAGGTGGTTGGCAAGAGCATTGCAAAGCTCCAGGGTGGTCGGCAAGAGCATTACAGCGCTCCAAGGTGTTCGGTAGGAGCATTGCAACGCTTCGGGGTGTCCGAGAAGAGCATTGCAACGCTCCAGGGTGTTCGGCAAGAGCATTGCAACGCTCCAGTGTGTCCTGGAAGAGAATTGCAATGCTCTAGGGTGTCCAGCAAGAGCATTGCAACGCTCCGGGGTTTCCGGCAAGAGCATTGCAACACTCCAGGGTGTCCGGCAAGAGCATTGTAACGCTCCAGGGTGTCCGTCAAGTGCAGTGCAACGCTCCGGGATGACCGGCAAGAGCATTGCAACGCTCCAGGGTGTCCGGCAGAAGCATTGCAACGCTCCAAGGTGTCCGGCAAGTGCACTGCAACGCTCTGGGGTGTCAAGTAGGAGCACTCCAACGCTCCAGGGTGTCCGGCAAGAGCATTGCAACGCACCAAGGTATGCGGCAAGTGCAATGCAGCGCTCCGGGGTGTCCGGCAAGAGGATTGCAATGCTACAGAGTGTCCGGCAAGACCATTGCAACGCTCCAGGGTGTCCAGCAAGAGCATTGCAACGCTCCGGGGTGTCCGGCAAGAGCATTGCAACGCTCCGGGGTGTCCGGACACCCCGCAGCGTTGCATTGCACTTGCCGGACACCTTGGAGTGTTGCAATGGTCTTTCCAAACACCCTGGATCGTTGCAATGCTCTTGCCGGACACCGCGGAGCTTTGCATTGCACTTGCGGACACCTTGGAGCATTGGAATGCTCTTGGCAAACACCCTAGATCGTTGCAATGCTCTTGCCGGACACCCTGGAGCGTTGCAGTGCTGTTGCCGGACACCGCGGAGCGTTGCAGTGGACTTGCCGGACACCTCGGAGCGTTGCAATGCTTTTGCTGGACATCCCGGAGCGTTGCACTGCACTTGCCGGACACCCTAGAGCATTACAATGCTCTTGCCGGACACTCTGGAGCGTTGCAATGCTCTTGCCGGACACCCCGGAGCGTTGCAATGCTTATGCTGGACACCTTGGAGCATTGCAATGCTCTTGCCGAACACACGGGAGCGTTGCAATGCTCTTGCCGGACACCCCGGAGCATTGCAATACTCTTGACGGACACCCTAGAGCGTTGCAAGACTCTCGTCGGACACCCTGGAGCGCTGCAATGCTCTTTCCGACCACCTGAGACCGTTGCAATGCTCTTGACAGACACCCCGGAGCGTTGCAATGTTCTTGCTGAACACCCTGGAGCGTTGCAATGCTCTTACCATACACCCCGGAGCAATGCAATGCTCCTGCCAGATACCCTGGAGCGTTGCAAGGCTCTTGCCGGACACCTTGGAGCACTGCAATGCTCTTGCCGACCACCCTAGAGCATTGCAATGCTCTTCCGTGTACTATGCGAGATCTGAGCGCTTCCGTTCTCCCAGGCATTTGCACTCTAAGTTCCCATACTGACAGACCTGGCCAATGCACCATTTTCCATATACATATGCATTAGATTCCTTTCAAACCTTATTAACTCACTAGATTTATATATTTCCCACCTTCTGATCGAGTGAGACCGCTAGATTCCCTCTACTTTTTGAGAAATGAGCGTTTCCGTTCTCCTTGGCCCTACTTGCACTATAAGTGCGAAATGCCGGCCAGACTGGCCGATGCACAATTTTCTCTACACATGTGCGTTAGTTCCCTTTCAAACCCTTACGTTCACTAGATGAATATAATTCCTACTTTCTATTTGAGTGAGACCACTTGATTCCGTGTATTATGCGAGATCTGAGCGCTTCCATTCTCCCTGACATTTGCATCTTAAGTTCCGATACTGACTGACCTGGCCAATGCACCATTTTTTCTATACATGTGCGTTGAATACATTTCAAACCTTTTTAGCTGACTAGATTTATATATTTCCCACCTTCTGATTGAGTGAGACCGTTAGATTCCCTCTACTTTTTGAGAAACGAGCGTTTCCGTTCTCTCTGGCCCCACCTGCACTATGAGTGCGAAATGCCGGCCAGACTGACGGATGCACCATTTTCTCTACACATGTGCGTTAGTTACCTTTCAAACCATTACGTTCACTATATGAATATATTTCCTACCTTATATTTGAGTGAGACCACTAGATTCCGTGTATTATGCGAGATCTGAGCAGTTCCGTTCTCCGAGGCATTTGCACTCTAAGTTCCCATACTGACCGACCTGGCCAATGCACCACTTTCTATATACATATGCATTAGATTCCTTCTGAACCTTATAAGCTCACTAGATTTATATATTTCCCACCTTCTGATCGAGTGAGACTGCTAGATTCCCTTTACTTTTTGAGAAATGAGCGTTTCCGTTCTCCTTGGCCCTACTTGCACTATAAGTGCGAAATGCCGGCCTGACTGGCAGATGCACCATTTTCTCTACACATGTGCGTTAGATACCTTTCAAACCCTTACGTTCACTAGATGAATTTATTTCCTACCTTCTATTTGAGTGAGACCACTAGATTCCGTGTACGATGCGAGATCTGAGCGCTTTCGTTCTCCCTAGCATTTGCATTTGAAGTTCCGATACTGACCGACCTGGCCAATGCACCATTTTCTCTATACATGTGCGTTGAATACATTTCAAACCTTTTTAGCTGACTAGATTTATATATTTCCCACCTTCTGATCGAGTGAGACCGTTAGATTACCTCTACTTTTTGAGAAACGAGCGTTTCCGTTCTCCCTGGCCCCACCTGCACTATGAGTGCGAAATGCCGGCCAGACTGGCCGATGCACCATTTTCTCTACACATGTGCGTTAGTTACCTTTCAAACCCTTACGTTCACTAGATAAATATATTT